TTATGTAAGGACAAATGGTTCAAGGTGAAAAACACTGTTTCTGGTTGTATCTCCGGGGTCATATTGGAGCCATAAAAAAATTTTTATAAATGTTGTAATAGCTAATGATAATTATCAGATTAAGATTATCAGTATTGCTAGATGACCCAAGTTATTGGTATCAGGTAACACACTCGATTTGTGCAACATTTTCGAGTTCAACTAGAGAGTATTCGAAGTAATCGAAATGTAAAGTGTTCAAATAATTAAATGGCAAAAGTGCCTAGAACTAAAATTTGTAAAATGTGTAGATAAAGAATCTATTGGATCACGTCAAAAATTTTGTAATTCCATGTTCCAGATTGGGTTTTAGACAGATTGTCATGTATTTCCAAGGCAAATTGTTGATTTGCTTGAGTTTGTTGGATGTTTCTGAAATTAAGTCAAATAATGTTGTCAATGATATCAGCATTTAGCTTTATCTGACATCATCTTGAGTTTGTGTCAATGTGGAATCCGTTTCGGCTCATAATGTTTTGACGAGCTGTTTTAAGTCTAACGTCCAAAGCGGTTTAACGTTAGGGGATGGGTGGGTTACTTTCCCTTTTAACAGCTTAGATGAAATCGCTTTTTGAACTCCTTGTTGCAGACGGGAGTATGTGGGGGTACTTATTTAGTTTTGTTTTTAGAGCGTTTTGCTGAATCTGTAGCTTTCACGATTTGGTTCAGTGTTTTTCACGCGACACCAAAAAGCAGATAGTCGAATCTGGTTTCACAATAATATAAATTGTGAAAAAGGTCAAATCTTCATTGTCTTTCTTAATTCTATTGGAACAAACCAGTTCGGAGTGATGTAGACTGATTGGGAAGCAGTTTTGCAGTCTAATAATTGATTGGACAAAGATTTAAAAAATATGATTTCAAATTCTCTACAACGCGACTTCCAATTTTTAGGAATGTTTAGTCGAATAGTCAAGTTTTGATAAAATTCCAAGGTACCAGATATCAGTAATACGGAACAACTGCAATGAGTTCTACTGGTCAATGTCTTACTGTAGGGTTTAAAATTTTCTCATTGGAGGGTGGTTAATACAATTAATAATTTGCAATGGTGGGTTTACTTTGAAGACAAAAATCTGAAACATGATACCTTAATATTGAATGATAGGAAAATAGTTATTTTACCCGAGTATTGATAAGAACCTCACATGGTAACCATCTTATGGTAAAAATTCGTCTAACGATATTATTTTTATCATTACTCTACTTTATCTTTACGTTTCGAAAGCAACTGTATTAATTCAAAAATTAAGCGGGGAGGTGCGGTACTTTAATGTTTGTTCCAAATATGCGCCAACAACCAACTGGCAACAAATTTACTCTGCAACATTTACTCTAGAAAAATTAAATGTTGTCCGCACGCATCTGTTTTATCTGCTATAGAAACGGACAAATTCAGTCTTGTCTTCGTTAACAAGTAGGTCCCATTCAGCCAAGATTTCTCTGCAAATAGGCAAGAGAGAGTCTGGGTCAAAAGGAGGGTTTGGACGCAGTAAGTGAAATGATAACACTACTCTTAGGTGGTACAGAGCGCCAGCAAAGTATAGAGTAAAATATGCCCCTGAAGCTCCATCACCTTGGAAAGATCCGTTGGAGGTTTCAAACTCCAGAGAGATTGTTTCGTCAATCTTAATTCTGAGCTTGGTATTTGACAACAAATACCTTGCTAACCTGATGTCGTCGTCACAGCAACCAGCTTCCTTTAGCAAGTCAAGAATTACTGGTCGCTTTATGGTGTCAAAAGCTGAGCTCATATCAATGCCCATTTTGGAGAATTCCCATCTTTTCTCCTTCACTACAGATATAAGTAGGCGTTGGGTCCATACAATATTCGCACAACTGTGACCTGCCTTGTACGCATTTTGCCAGGGTCCAGTATACTCAGCAATCTGTCTCCTGACCCTGTGAAGTGTTAAAGGGACAAGAGCTTCCTAGTGCCGTTGAGAAGACATAGGGGCCTGAGACTCTTAACTGGTCCTTTGGGTTTGCCATGCTTTTGCAGTGGTGCTAAATATCCCTCTGTAAAAGATGGAACATGTTCATTACGCTCAAAAGATTGGTTAATGAGGGTAGCATATTGTCTGTAGAAATTTTCAGGAGCATATTTTAGAAGCTCATTGGGAATCTGATCTGGGCCTACTGCCTTACCATTCTTCAACTTTGAGGCTGCATACTGTACTTCTTCACAGGTTATAGGAGTCTGAAGGGGTCTAGGAGGTCCTATGAAGGGTTGTAAAGGGGGTTCTGTACTGGCATAGTGTTGCAAGAACCATTCACGGACAATGGCAGCCTTCTCTTCATCGTTTCCAACGAGCTGATTGTCTGCGTTGAACACTGATATTGGTTCTGCTTGTTTATCAGTGGCAAGGGCACGTGTGGCTTCAAACTTACGCTTCGTGTCGTCAGCGTTATTGATAGCATCTTCTAGCTTGTTAGCATATTCTGTCTCAAGTTCTTTAAGGCGTTTGTTGATGTTGTTCTTGAGTTTGTTGATGTTTCGTCGCAATTCAGTCCTATCATGCAGCATGTTGTCATTCAGTTGAAGTATCAGCTTGTGTCTTTCATCTGACATGCAACATACTTGAGGGTCTGATGAATGTTGAGTTCTTCTGTTTTTCTGTCTCATACCCACTGTTTTAGACGCAGCAGTTTTAACAGTTCCAAATAACTGCTCAAAGCCTGCTTAAACGTTAGGGGGAGTGGGTAGGCTGTCTATTTGCTGTATGACAGCTTGGTGAAACTGGTTCTCTAACTCCTTGTTGCAGACCAGGGACGTTGTGTTGTACTTTACGGTCTTAGTTTTTCTGTTTTTGTAGAGCTTAGTTTTCTGCCTGAGATCTATGGTAGCTTTCACGATTTTGTGATCTGAGTGTAGTTTTGCACCACCATAAGCCCTGGCATCACTCAAAAAAGCAGTACTGCGAGACCGGCACAAAATAAAATCAATCTGTGAGAAATAAGGACAACTTTTCTTGGTCTTTTTATCTTTGACCCAACCAGTTCTGGTAGTGATGTGACGACTGGAATGGCGGAAAGCAGTATTTGCAGCAAATAAGTTATTGAACACAAGAAATTTCAACAACCTCTCACCGTTTTCATTCCTCCTACCAACGCCGTACCTTCCTAAGTTCTTATGAAGGCCACTGTTGTAGTCTTGATCTGACCGTTTACCAAGTTTTGCATTAAAATCCCCCAGTATCCAGAGTTCATAACGTGCGGGTACATCCACTGCTACTTGAAGTTCACGGTAAAACTGGTCTGTAGCTGCTGGGTTTGAAATTGTCTTTGGATTGGTTGGGCTGTAACAATTAACGATGCGCAATTTGCAAGGGGGTTTGCAAGCAGATTTTGAAGGAACAAAAAACTCCATGTAAACAACACGATCGCTAATCTGATGAAATGAACGGAAATAATTATTAACGCGAGTATTGATAAGAAACCCCAGTCCACCATGGTAACCATCCTTCTGGTCAAACAAAAGAAGTCTCGAATCTGAAAACTGACGTACTTTAGTCTCTTGTAGTCCAATAACATCTAAATTATATCTGTCACAGTCCTGTGACACTGAAATTATCGCAACTGTTATTATATTTCAAAAAACTTTTAACGGGTGCAGGTGCGGTACTTTTAAAATGTTTGTTCCAAATATTGACCGCCAAACAAAACGCAACTGGCAAACTAAATTATAAACTTGCAAACAAATTTACTCTAGGCAAAAATTAAATGTTGTGGCCGCACCGCGCGTATTTTTCATTTTACAGCGTAGCGCTAAAACAAAGCTAAAGTTTGTACTTAACTCATACTTCCACTTCAGTAATTAATTAGATTTTAGGGTATTTTATTGTCTAAATACTTGTCATACGTTGTATGACCCTTCGCGGCTCCCCCTGTATCGTACCTAGTGAAACGACCGTGGGGTGTCACAACGTGATACAACTAAATACATTTTGCACATACCTGCGAGTGTTGTTAAATTCAACTCAGTAAAAATACCTCAGTCACTCCAACCAAGAATTCAAAAGGCAAGGGTGGGTGCTCATGTCTAAACTACACGGTCCGCAGTTTCCGATCCTGTATCCCCCGCAGCTTAATATAATTCTTTTTGACGTATTGTTGTAATTATTGAATTTTTATATAGGGTCATTGTTATATTATATGTGTATATTGTTTGAATATCTTTTTTGATATTGTTTTAAAAGGTATATATACCTTCAAGCCACTCTCTTGCTACTCCAAGTCTCCTAAGATATTTGGTCTAAAGGTCCTTCTAGTTACACTCATGCACTTATAATATATTTTTTGTTTGCTTTAATCGATAATATACAAAATTGTTGTTTCTTTTTTATTCCGGCTGTCTTCGGGTAGTAGAATCTATATCAATACCCATAGATTTCATAAGATGTTTATTACTATTACAGACTTATCCAATCACACAGCCCTTCTTTTACGGAACTGGATGCAATACTGCTTCCCTTTTGTGGATTCTCTAAAATGATTTTTCTAGAGTTGATGGCCGAGACAATTTTACTGGATCCTCTTGAAATCATAAATTCGCCACTCCCTCCATTAAAACAGTTATATTTAAAACAAAATCAAGTCTTTCATTATATAATAATTATATGTCTGTTGGACCAGATATTCACTAATTTTTATGATATTTGTATGCTATAACCCGTGATCCGTTCAAGTTAATTGTATTTAATAACTACTGAATTAACAAATAACCTGATGTGCATGTCTATCCTCTCCAAGAGGCTAACCTCTGGATATTACCTTAAAGTTGAGATTGATCCTCAAGATGTTTTGATGTACATGATCTAGTCATTGCAACAATCCAGTCAAGGATTTATCTTAGTGACCACTTTCAACCATGGTTCATTTTGTTGATAGCACTTTATTCTATTGTGTCCTGTTTCGTTATCGTGTGAGATAAATTGATACCAAATTACAATTTCTTATCCAGGTAAATATGGATTGAGATATTATGACTGGGTAGCAGTGGTATGAATGATGAGAATCCTGGGGAAAATGTCCCTGTCGTCAATGAACGATACTTTCTAAGGTACTTAGTATTTACTGAAATTTATTTACATCAATAAATGCACACAATTCTAGATCTAAATTTAACTGTGGGAAAACAAGTTGTCCCAGGCAACGCACACAACCAGGGCTTGCCCTTTCCCTCTTGTTCTATCTTCCCGCTTCCATTCATCTCTTTCTCTGCTTCAAGATGTTGCAGTCACATTGCTTAAGGGGGGGGGGGGGGGGGGGGGGGGGGGGGGGGGGGGTGGGGTTCACCCTGATTTTTTGTGAAACTTGGTTTCGAGATAGCAGTTGTCCAACAAACTAGGACCAGTGACCGAACTTTTGAGCGGGTCCCGGACTCCAACCGCCAAACGGTGTCTGCGGGGCAGCCACGCCCATATTAGGTCCAAATTTTTGAATTTGGCCGACAAATTTTTGCGATTCGAAATCTCGAAACCAAGTTTCACAAAAAAAATCACGGTGAACCCCCCCTCCCCCCTTAAATCATTCTTTCATTCTAGGATATTGATTTAAAAAAATCGTATTAACGTTAATAAAGTTTCTATGGATAATTTTATACAGTAGTCTATAGACCAACTAAATTATTTTACTATTATATGTATGGTTAAGAGTTTTATGACATTGAATGAATCTATTTATTACAAGTACTAAGGACTGCTAGTACGGTATTTTGTATTAGTTTGTTTTCACTTCTGCACGTTTAGGCAGTTGCTCTTGTGACCAGAGTTTTAAGAGTTATATATATATATATAATACATATAAAATCGTATTGTTTATAGATGATGGTAAACCATTGGCAACTCTGCAGTCTTCATGCCACCTAGCCCCGCCAGGTTCAGTTGACAGTTAAAACCAGTTTGTTTCAGGCCAAGGAGGGCTAATCCTGCTCAAGAAAACCAAGCTGCTGATGGAAGACAGGCAGCAGTCCCACAAAGAGATGTACAACCAAGAAGGCCACTACGAAGACGGCCACGTCCACAGGCTCGTCCCCGACTCTCTCCACCTCGGTACAATATGATTATTTTTTGAAACTTAAGAATGACATCTAATCCAGTGTTTCAGCTCATTTTAATTTTTAGCTGTGCTTATTGTGTGGTTATTGTGTGGTTATTATGTGCTTATTTATATTGTGTGCTTATTGTGTGATATTAGTGTTTGATAACCACATGTAAAATTTGAGTCATCTAGACTTAATTAAAACTGTTTTCAGCCGCAGAAGACGACAAAACCCAAATCCCCGTAATGATAATCCTGTGCAGCTAGATCCAGAAAGACCACTTTTAAATCCTGGCTGGCTGAACGTTGACTTAGAAGGATTGAACTTCAACAATGAGGATTCTGATGACGAGGAAGACACTGACTACGATACAGATGCAAGCAGTGATGACACAAGCAGTACAACAAGCAGTAATGAGGTGCCCATACCTCTCTTTAGGATTAATGAAGATGAAGACGACAATGACGACGAGGATGGTGACGAGGATGATAATCTGATTCAGTGGCATCCTGACCCCTTCGAGCCGTTTGGATTGAACTTCGAACGTGGGATGGATCTTAACAATTTCATGGACGTCTTCAGAAGGATAGCGTACGGTTTGAACTCTACAAGAAGCTCCATACAATTAGATACATTGCCAGCTCCTAGACCTTTAGATCCTGAGAAGATAGATCTTTATAATGGGAATCTTCCTCCCCTCGGTAGCATTCCGATGCACAGAAACTTTCTTATTCCCCCCTTCACCAATGTCATAGTAAGTCACAACAACGTGTCATGTTGAGTACTGTTACTTATTGTTTACAGTTAACTTCACAAGTAGAAATAAGGATAGGCATAAATTAATTACGTCTCCAAAGCTTAATATCACATGGATAAGCTGAATAATCAAAACAGCTCTACCTTCATAGAGATTATATTACAGGTGGATGCAATGCCCACACAGATTCAAAGAAGACACATATTCTTCACTAACTACACCAGAGATTGCTGGAACGGACTTCAAGACTCAGCCAAGCAATCTGAACTTCGTGCACTAAAGTCGAAAATATGGGTTACTGTCGAAACTTCCGCCATGCTACAGAGATACTATCCTATACTTTATTTAGAGGTTTCTTGGTATTCAGCTGTGCATTTATATTTTAAACTTAGTTGTATACAGCCCCTTTCTTTGCGTTTTACTAGATATGTATTAATCTCTATCTATTCACCATAATATCATCTTCTAAGCAAATCAGGAATTTCATATATTTCACATTAACATCCAAACATTACAGATACAGGACCTATTGAACAGACTTATACCCAACAGACTATATCAGATTCTAGTTGAAGACCCCGTTGACAGGCTCTCTGTAATAGCTCTGCCTCTCGACACCATCCCCGGATCTTGTATGTACTTTATGAGCAAGGACTGCAAATTTCTTCTTCACACAGGCAGCAATGCGGGACAGGAGTCCTTTGTTTCTTCCTTCAGGAAGATCAAGGAAATAACTCCTGTTATTGATACTCTTTATATTGACACAGCACTTTATTTTCCTGGCTCGGACGAATCTTTTCGAAAAAAATTAGAGAGTAGGAATAGTGCCATGTCGAGGATAAAATCTTTCATGACAACAATGGTCAGCAATACGGAACACAATTATTTCTTTTCAATTCAGTACAGGGCCGGCATGGAGAAGTTCATGCTAGACATTGTTTCCTGGGCCAAAAACTGGAAAATAGGGATCACAGAGGACTTGTACGAGTGGAACTATAGAGAGTTGCTCGATCATAGAGATAGAACTTTCAAGGTAGATCATTTGGATCACCGGCTCCTCAACCAAGTTGCTCAAGAACAAGCGCACATATTCTTCTACACGGCCGAGCAATCGAACTTCGATCACCTGCACAGCACAAACTGTAACCATATCAAGCTGCATGTCATATACGATTACCACTCCAGTATAGAGCGAGTCAGGGAGCCACGGTGCTGCTCCAGCACTATCTACAGGAAATGCAGGGCCTTTAACAATGACTCCGACTCCGAGGAGACAGACCTGAACTATTATATATTGTACCCCTCTCATCCTACCACCTCCCAGACTAAGTCTATTGTTAAGCAGCTCAAACCGGAGAAGATATTCGGGTTGTCCCGTGCTCCTGGTGTTGGGCTATACTGAACTTAAGGATGAGTTTAAGAGGCTGACTGAGGCCTTTCCCAGGACTTCCAGACAAGCTCCTATATTGGTTGAGTGAATGATCAATCAGTTCTACTTAATTCTGGGTATGGAATGGAAATCGTGTTGTTTTGATAAAATTGTATTGTTATTGTATGCGTTTAAACATTGCGAAAACATTAATTGTTCTATAATCATGAGATATGAAAGATATTTGGTTTCAGAAAGTTTAATGTCTCTTTTTGCTTTAATTCATTTGATGGTATTTTGAAACCTGTGCTATTAATAACGTGTATTGGTTTTTATCTACATTATACATATTGTGTAAAATTTTTCTGTAAACTGACGAAAGTTGTACATCAACATGCAATTGGAAATATTGACCGTAGTAAAACAAAAGGTGTGTAAACAATTGGCCGATAAAGTAACACAGTAAAGATGGATAATAATAGAAATATTTGTTTGAAGAGTAAGAAGTTTAATTGGTAGTTGTTGTTGCCTAATATAGTTTAAAGTTTGTGAGTTTTAACTTATTAACCGGGGGGATTATATATATAATATATAATACAACTTTTTATATTTGTTTCATCGATATAAACCGAAGTTTATGAATGCAATTATTATTAGGTAATGGAAATTTATCATCGTGTTTTATTGTGAATTACCTTCAGTTCAAAATATTTGTATTCTTTTTGCAAGCTTATATCAATTAGTTAATATGCCAATTAATTAATTAAATATTTTCTAACTTATCTTAACAAGGTGCTAGGTGATGAGTTCTGAGAACAACCGTGGGATCGTGCTATGTTTTCTGATCTACATTGTGCTCTGTGCTACAATTGTCTCCATCATTGAGAGACCATGGCTTATTGTACCTCTAGGAACACCAATGAATGTAAGTCAATAAGTCATCTTTTTTACTTAAGCTGTTAGTGTTAATTAAGTCACGGGGTATGCATGATATAACCTCCAAAATTAGCCAATCTCATGAATCTGGATATTTTAACTTTTACGCACATTATGTTCTAGAACTTGCAACTTCACCTTACCCATATTATTGTGTCATGTTCAGTGTACAGTATCCATAGTGTTCCTATTATATTTACTATTATTAGCTTACTCTATACTTCACGCAACCAAAATATAATAGTGAACTAAGTGTTAATTGTCTAACACATCACACATGTAATAGATATCTCATGATGTATAATAATATAGTATTAACGTGTTTGACGTGAATACCACTTCTGATCAACTTCTGAGGTAGCCTACTCAGGGGACAATTTCAGCTTGTTTACACTGCAGCTGTATTATAGACAAGTGTATTGTACTGATTAAAAGTGCAACTTGTTCAAGTGTATAAAAGAGTGTGTACTAACAATGTTACTTTCTCAGATCAGCGCAGAAAACTTCCCCAAAGGAAGCTTCCAGACAGCTGAAGATCAGATTAAAGCGGAGGAGATCAGTAACATAACATTCGATGCTATTTTACCTGGATATTGTGGTTAGTTTCAGTTCATATTTTATTTGTGTTTTTACTCATTGCAACGACTCCACCCCCGGTCTTTGAGTACACATTAAGTAAACTTATTTTGTAGGAAGTGTTATCACATGCTTCCTTTACTAGCTGGGAAGAAATAATCTCAGATTGGGTTCACTATAGTACTTAGCAAGTTTACCCTACTATCTGAAAACATCAGCTTTGTATTCTCCACAGGTATTAGTGGAGTCTGCTATCCCTTTAAAGATGGAAGTCCCCTCATAAAATACTTCTCACCTGGTTCCACCCAATGTGAGCGGATAGACCCCATCCTCTACTTTACAAATAAGGAAGAGTTCACCTTCAACGTGGTACATCATGTCCCGCTGTACCTTGCCATTGCGGGATCTGGTGAGTTTATAGTGGGGAGGCGGCCCACAACCGGCTGATTTGTAGTGTAGGATTGTGTGTTGTTGCACTGAAACCGTTGTCTATTTCAGGGTAAAGATAGTGGAATGTTATCTACATAATATGCAAGTGTTAGTTTTTAGTAAAGTATATTGTGAGAGTTCTTTCTTGGATTTAATAGCGTACTTTCAGTGTTTCTCCTGTTTACCTGGGTTATTGGGATTTGCTCGTGTTGCAACGAGAGCTGTGGACACTGTACTATCTACTCCGTTATAGCTGTAATGTTAACTTTCTCGAGTAAGTCTTTAGTTTCTTATCCTGTGGAATCATCAGAATTGGCTGTGGAGTCATTCTGATAGTACTTCCTTTATTAACTAATACCTAACTTGTTGCAAGAATAACTTTCGACTATCTAGTTTAATAAGTTTGGCTTTGTGTTTCAAGAGAAGCGATGACATGGCTATTTAATTGATTTCTTGTATGATAAGTGTCACAATTTATTATCAAGTCTTAAACTTAAACGATTTTCAGCGTCTCTATTTTTGGCCGGTGGTTTGATGTTCTTTATCTTTGGAAATGACGACGACAGTTGTGTCAAGAGGATTTGTGGGTCCGTTTCCTCTACATTCGATTTCGGTGAGTATTTGGTTAATGAACTGATCTGTTATTATGTTCTGGATCATTTTAAAAGCCGAATTCGCTATACTTGGAACTGACTGTACATAAATTGCACCGTTACACTGCCAATTTTAGAAACAATGGGCGCGCGCGCGACTGACAAACCAGATTTTGCTATCGTGTTAGCATTTGCACGTACGAACCCACCGACGCGAGCTAGCTAGTGTAGATCGAGGGGACTTTTAATTTCCATTTTATATACGCCGCGCACTTGATACCAAAAACAAACCATCAGTACTTTGTCATCGATATCGTCATTGCAATTGGTCTCATGTAAATATGCACTTTTCGTCAAATATGAGATCATATCTGCGATGAATAAAGCGGTAGTTACATCAGTCACGCCACGAACCCTGCATTTCACTTCTGTTTTATTAACTACATACATTTTCTTCGACATTCAGCTACAAAACTTCCAACAAATTAAAAAGAAAACCTAAAACTTCCGAGTTAACTAACAACACTATAATCCCCCAGGGCACTGCGAGCTAGGCTGGAGTATGTTTGTGGCAGCTGGAGGTCTACTGTTTGGATACATTGTTGCTATCCTCTCCTGCGTGCTCGCTGCCAAGACCCCACTCTCTCGCAAAGAGACAAGTAACCAGGTCATCGAAGTTCAGCCAGCTCCGAGGAGAGATGGTCAGATGATCACTAGTCGAGCTTGAGAGAAAAAGAGATATGCATTTCCAAAGAACAGTTTGAGAAACAAAATGTGTACAAATGTGACCTTAGTCGGTGACCAGAGTAAAAAGGGAAATGAGCGCTTGTTTCCGGGACAATGATAATTCAAGCCAAATATGATATAAGGATGTTTATTTCCTTGTTGATGATTAATAATTATTGTTATGATGATATTGTTATTTGAATTCTCATATTATTTGATTTATAGATATTGGTCCATAATTCAGTAAATATCGATAATGTGTACTGAATTTCAGTGAGACAGCGTGACATTAGATTCATAATTGAAGTTGAGTTGATCGTCTAATTATTTTTATTATAAATTAATTTTTACTAACATCCTGCAAATTGGAAGATTTTCTCCGGTAATCTAATAAGGTAATTGCCTGGTGCAGACAAATCTTGTCGCATATTTGTTAAAATACCGTTACAATACGGCGTTACAGGGTGAGATAGCTCTCGGATAGCTGACTAGATATTATCTCGGGGTGCCTCATGCCTGTCTCCTGTCCTTTTAATTGCTTGAATTCCAACAAGTGCGTCTATTTGCGGCACAACAGCCGCCTCAGCTCACATTGTTTAACTTATGACTTTGTATTTCATCTTCTGAAACAGCTGGTGCTCGTGTTTTTTGTAGTGTGATGGAGGTGGTAGTTTGGTTTTTATTCAGTACTGTTATGCCACTTTTTATTTTTCAAAACCTTTGAAGTGTAAGCAGTTTTAAACACAGATTTGGAGATTGGATTAAGTAACCTCATCACAGTTTTAGATTAAAAAGACTTTTTTGATGTGATTGTCTTATATTGTGTTATATTTTTCTGTAATAATTTTTGAAAATTTGTTCAGTTTCCGCCCCAAAACACTTCTATGTTTTCTGTACTTTGGAAGATACTTCTTATCAGTAATATCAAATTTGTACCTAGCACAGTGGTCGTTAAGACAAAGCCAGGATTCAAGTACGATCTCAATTTCCAGAAAATCATTTTTATACCATATACGGCAACACTAGGGTTGCCAACCGATATTATCGGCCGATAATTATCGGCGATAATTTCCCAAAAATCTAACTTGGAGGTTGTATGGTCAGACGTAGTTATTGTTGTTTGTTGAAGCACGGAAAGGAACTCCCACTGCAACGAGACTACAAAACTCGTTGGAGCTCGCTGTGCAGTATGTTGGAGAGATATGACCGGATAACTGATGCAGTGCACGGAATTTTAGATGACTAATGACTTGGAGCTAGGCAATCTAAAAAAGGATGTAGAAGAGACTGAGTTAGCTCTCGCACCGTTCAAGACTGTAACTGAGTTTCTGTGTAAAAGAGGAAGCATGCTTGCTCAAGCAAAAGGGATTATTTAGTTTATTGACACCAAGCTAGAAGAGATCTGAGATAGACTCGCCATTTTCTCGAAGCCTGTCCGATAGGCTACGTACACAATATGCCAAGAGAAAGAACCTTCACTTTGTATCGCTGGTAAAGTTCTACTCGGACCCCGGTTTTCTAGATGAAGATGTAGGACAAGAATACAGAATGATCACAAAGTCAACCTTGATACGTAACTCTAAGTCTGCTCCAGCGGTTGTTTAAGCAGAAAGAGACTAACAGCGATTGAGCTTCGCAAGTAGTTCGACGATTGGTCCTCAGGACTCACAGACGACTCCTACAATTTCAGATGCCAGATTCCAGTCCTATCCCGCTGACAAAAGAATTATCAGACCTACATTAGGGCAGCGATTCGACTACGGTAGCAAGGACAGATACCCTTGCACGGGAGATAGGTCTGTTCACAGCTAACAGGCAGCTAACAGGCAGCAGACTTTAAAATTTTTTTTTCTAGAAGCAATAATTATCTTTAAGAACATATTTTGTCTATGAAATATGGGCTAGTTAAATAAAAGGGCAATATTGCAATTGATTCTTTAACAAAGCAATCAGCACAAGATGTAACATAGCATAGGAGCATAATGCAAGTATGCAGAGTGCATACAAATATTACTTCAATTATATTGCCAAATTTATCGCCGATAACCGATATTATCGCGATAATTTTGAAAAAATTATCGATTATCGCGATAAAAATTTTGTACCGATAATGGCAACCCTAGGCAACACCTATGCGACGACAATTGACAATTCAACCCACAGTACTAATATAAGCAAAATAGACTAGGAGACACTAAAAGTACTAAATTTCGGATATCAAAAACAAATTGCTAATCGCTTTAATTATAGATCAGCATTTGTTGGTATTTTCGATTTTTAGTTGGTCTACTCTCACAATTTCTCTCATAAATTTGTAACTGTTTGATAAAACACATACGTTTAGCAAGCTATTTTTAGACATTGTTAAGGAAATATCTCGTTCTTTTATATGCGGCAGAAAGAAATTTTGGCACAGCTCTAATTAAAAACTTATTTGGTTTTATCATACCGCTTCTCCCCGGCCCGGGGACCCCGGGACATTTTTCATGGACGGCCGAGGACAAAAGGATTCACGTTACCAGCTCTCTAGATAGATCAGAGGAAAAGAGCATATTATTGCGTACTGCTGACCGGGAATGCTGTTGACATATGGGCAGTCCAGTTATAGCAGTACAAACATGTTACGTTATCTTTTAGAATCCCGTTTTGTCACGTACAGCTCAAGCCTGACAAGCCTTTCATACTTTAAGTGACGCTGTTTCGCTCTCTTTTAACTGGGTGTCTTTACCTACCATGTTCGCCTTAACGCATAGCTCGTTACGAGCGGTTTCAATCGAACGTAATGTACAATTCTAATTAACACCTCTGCACTAAATTTGGTGTTGTCATAGCGAGGCTCTAACGTTACCATATAAGGCAATGAACTGAATAGTTGAACAAGTCATGTGGTTACCACGTGTACGGTCAACTGTCAGTGTTTGTACTGCATATATACGACTTTTGAGCTGTAATACAATTTCCTGTACTCAGGTTCTATTCTACCGTTTTTGCTTTTTTTGCCCTTGCTCTGAACTTGCTTTTCAACGCGCAAAAATTTGGCAGCTACCGCTTGCTTATGAAGTTATATCCGGAATACATCATACATTCCGCTTTATAGTTAAACCATGCGGCTGCAATCATAGTCATACAGGAACTGCTTTTAAAGAAACCATAGTTATACAAAAGATATTATTATTGCCGAATAATTTTACAGGCAACACCTACTGTTTATGTGCACACTGTGCAGAGTAGTGCACACTGTGCTTGGTCACTACGGTTTAGATTTGTATGGTTTTCTTTCACTGGTCCAGGCTAGTTTCGTTTACTTCAGAATCGTATAAAGTACTCTACGTATAGTCTATATTGTATAATTATCGTCTTATTTTAGTTACTCCATCGCAAAATAGAAATAGAATTTCTTCCGAACAACTGAAGCAATTAATTTTATGTTCAGCTATTAGTATTAAGAGTCGTGTGAAGCTGCCAGGAGTATGATCCAGTTTTTCGAGGAAGAGGATGCAGCGAAGTGCGGAGAAAATATTTGTGTGGAAGAGGAGCATGTTTCTAAAAAGCAGTCCTTCCCTCGATCTCCCCTTATGTAAGTTACTCGTCTTTAAGTTTAAGCTGAATGGAGAAATGTTCAATCTTACTAGTTGCAACCTCATTTCGTAAAATTTGAGACTTAAAACAGGTCAACACAAAAAAACCCAATAATTCTAAATATGCACTAACTTAGCTACATGCAGTATGCGCTATAACATTATTATTATTAAGCTACTTCTCACTGAGAAATAACAGTTTCAGAGCACGGCGCCCGTCCGAGCAGTGGGCTACAGCGGTTAGCAGAGTCCGGATAGGACTCAGGGTAATGAGAGGCTTCCAGTTCTATACCAGTAGGAGTCTAGCCAAGGCTGTGGGTGACGGAAGGAGTGTCAAGGTAATCAATGAGGTCATCTACCGGCCACCTTATTAGATCCGCCAACAATCAAACTGCGGCTGTAGGCCAGGACTGGAGCGTGGAGTCTTGGCGGATCTAATTGTGTTTATATTTTCATTGTACCGAACACTCTGGCAATTCGCAGTAAATTATCAAAGAGTCTGGTTTGATTCCACGAGCTAAAAGCTTGACTAGATATTTCAGGAGAGGAATCCAGGCAGAGACAGAGATTTGGGGAACTTCCCCGGTATCTTGAGGAAGATCTGCAAGAAAATCAGACCGGAGGACCAATGCTTTATGGTGGTCGAGTTGGCTACCCCTCAACCAGATTTACTTCTTCACTATCTCGTAATGATCCGAAACAAGTTAGTCATTAAGATTTTCTTTGATTTCTCTTAAACTGTTTTATGATCGAAATCGTACTCTTATTACTTTTAGTTTTATTTTCAAAACTCTTGCGAAATTTCTGATTTCAAATCAATCTAGTTGCATTGAGGCAAAAGTTTCAGGTTTTAGGCACAACCAATATCATAACATACAAACTTTATACATCATTTAAATGTTACACAAATTGGCAAGTACTAACCGATTCCCTCTCACAGGAACAGTTTTGGCTATAAGGAAGATATGTTGTTGGGAGCCGAAGTTGTTATTTCTGATGGTGAAGTGGAGGATGTTAATTTCGCCTTTTATGTCCCACTTCTTTCAAACGTCAGGTTAGCGTTGAATACATCAGTCTGTCATATTACATATAGTTATTAATTAATGAGGCAAAAAGGAGATCACTTTCCGCTATTCGAGATCCAATGACTGCGTTAATAGGTTTCATCACCCCTGCCAATAACAAATAATCCATCCAATTAATAAATTATTCCAATTAACTGCAGACGGCTCCAGTTACTCTATTACTAACTTGATTGCCACCTAAACTAGAATAAAATTGAACCAGCCAAGAAAGCTCAAATCATCCAACTTTATTTTCAGAGTACATCTACACGGAGAGAACAGATTTGTGGTGACCACCCCCCACGACAGTTACGTCCTAAAACCTTCCACCATCCAGAGCCAGTGGGCAGCCCTAACCTTCCTGACAGAGAGTATACGCCGAGCCCAGGATTGTAACATGTACGAGCTGGGGAGCACACATTGGTGGTGTTCTCACTACAAGAATGTAAAGGTAAGGATAAAATAAACAAATACCATGACCCGTTCTAAACGGTGTAACTGTCTTCTATAGGCTACAACATTCTCGGATGTGTTACCTCGTCTCGTACTTGCTCATGTCGGGCTTTAGAGTACTGTTATAGGAGACTGTAACAAAATTATACAGTGCTTTAGTGGCTTGTTGCGCATAATCCTAATTTAACATTAATTAAGTGAGATTTGGAGCTATTAAGAAAACAGTCTCTCCATTCGTCTAGAAGACAGAAAGGCAGACCGTAATGGTCTCACTGCCTCTTACTTGGTCTGGGCCGGAGTGGGTGAGAGAGTGCTTTTACAAGTCCGTGAGAACGTCTAGAACAATCTAACATTATAATAGTATCATTGTAGGGTTAGAGAGACTTCAAGTCTGACTCAGACTTGTAATTTTTATTATTCCATCCTAAGGTCTTTAGTCACAGTGGCCCAATTCCTAGTGAACCAGTTGAGGAAGTAAGTTTTATAACTAGTGATGTATACCATAAGACCACCTAATAAGTAAATTTATCATCCCTAAGTTCAAGTGATTTAATATTGATAAAATTAAAGCTGTAAAACTGTAAAAAATGATATCGCCTTACAACGTGGGGGTTAACCGAATATTAATTTAATTTATAACATGACACTCCATGACAGTTTGTCAAACTTTCTCCTATTAAGTTTACAAAAAAAATCTGTCATCGGGTAACGCCCATCAATTTAAAGAATACTCGTCCATTTAAACATGTCTTACGTCACAGCATGACTGAATGTGATAATAACTGAAATAATGAATATCTGGTTTTAATAAATACTAATCTAAGTCTAAAACGACCGTGACGTGTTATCAAACAACTAGCACCAATTCAGCTGAAAATTAACGTGGTCCATTATGCCAAACTCAATGAATTACGCTCCATTCCATCATCTTTATGATAGTGTTTATCATGTTCCGGAGTAACAAGTAACATGATTAGTACTTACTCTCCTCCCCCAGTGGTGACCTCTTGACACCCCCACATTAAACCCGACCCAGGCTATATTCTGATCCTGACGTGCTGCCCAGTGCCCGCCTACACAATCTTACATAATATTATATTCTTACATTCACTCTCAGGTAGCCGTCCTAATGCTATCATAATTATTTGGGAATTGGTTTGTTTTTGTTTCTCAGCTCCAGACTAATAGCAGTCAAATTACCCTTACCCGGATGTGACATATTCTAATGCGTGACCAGACCTCGCGTCTCACATCGGCATGACGTTATCGGACTATTAACTAATGGCAGCTCGCATATTTAATACGTAGACTTCTCCATTCACTATACGGTTTGCTTGTTGAAATTCCTCCGTTTAAATTCCCCCCATACTTGCATATTATCTAATACGGTGTAAGACACGGAGCAGTAATAATATCCACTATACTATCCTGCTAGTATCTAGAGTTGTTAAGTTGACACTGTTGTTGCTATGGTAACTGAGCGTGTTCTGCAGCCGTTAGACTCCTACTGGAGACACAAGCACCGGACAGAAGAGGACCAGCAGGCTACAACAATGCTCGATATATTTGGGTGCAGGAAAAGAAGGAAATCCTCTCCTAGTTCAGGTGGGACGCCTTTTTTATTCGTATTCAAGAAACTATTAACCCCAGGTTGCAAGGCTTTTAGTTTAAAGTTTTGTTGATCATTGGTAGACATTAGCTCATAGCATATTCGTTATACTCCCTGACTCCCTCAGTAATCTGAATTTTTCAATATTTTTAACTGTGCACTTTTTCCAGATCCTGGCACAGACCCCATTCCCGAGAACGAAAAGTGTCTGACAGAAAACGAGGAACTGTTGTCTGAAATAAAACTGAAAGTAATCCAGAACGAGATCAGGAATGTAATGCACAAGATAGACATGGAGGTGGCTGATTGTGGATCTATCAGGTTGGTTCAGCTTATGAGGATACGTGCATTTTTTGTTTGCAATCGTATTTAATTCATTTCTGAAGAATCGTAATTTGTAGACCTCAATGATTTGCAAATACATCAAATCACAGGATTTATTACGTAACGAGTTTATATTCCAGAAAGCAGGTGGAAAAGAACCTGAACATGAATCTAGCCGACTCAAAGAGTTGGGTTAACGAACAAATTCTCACAATATACGGACAGATGGACGAGCCCAGTCTGATTCTGGATTATTTGTACCTTGGTACGGAGTGGAACGCTTGTAACGTAGAAGAACTGCAGGAAAATGGTAAGTTCAACAACTTCAACGAATCAACCTATTAGTATTATATTTATAATTCTCCCTTACGTATAACATATAATAACCTCTGGTTCAATAAAGTCCAGAAAATACCTACATTTGATGGATTACTATGAACAGCTCCTACTTCATGTTTAACTACTGTTTAATTCCAGGAGTGACGCACATTCTCAATGTGAGTAGAGACATTGAAAATTTCTTCGAGAAGAATTTCCAATACTTGAGGGTGGATGTGTTGGATCGACCTGATCAAAACCTTCTGGAATATTGGCAGGAAACTTACAACTTTATCAAATCTTGCAAGGAACAGGGCGGCAAGGTAAGCAAAGGAGCTACTGGTACTTGTCTATGCAGCTCAGATGCTTTTAACCGATTCTCTTAGATCTGGGGCCCTACTTTTTTAATTTGTAGAACCCTCATGTTTTTTTTCGCTATCAACTTTATCACTTATTTTTGTGCATTTCCACAGATATTAATACACTGTCAAATGGGAGTCAGTAGGTCAGCCTCATGTACAATAGCTTTCATCATGAAGGAGTACGAGCAGTCCTTCAAAGATACCCTCCACACGACCAAAGCAAAACGGAACTGCGTTAAACCCAACCCCGGCTTCCACACACAACTTGAAATTTACGAAGAAATCCTCAGAACTCACGGCTACTCAGCTGATTTGTCAGATGCTCTGAGGGAGAGGGAGGTGAACGAACCATGAATAATTGAATATATACATTATGTTTAATTATACAAGTTATACAGTTTTTACTCTTGCTCTGAAGTTTCTCACATTATGACCTTCTAATATTAAACATTGCTAATTTTCAAGGACAGAATTTAGTGCAATTATTTAAGCGGTTCCAAAAATCATGTGCTTTATGTGCCTCACATGCATAATGCATATTTTTGGTAATGCAATTTTATGCTCGTTGCTCAATTGCTTCTTTGCTACTGAATTTGGCGCATTTGGATTTTGGAACAGAATTACGACACCAATCTTTTTTATGATCCGCGTTAAATTGTATTCATTGTAAAACTTAATTTCTAAGTTGTTAAATGCTTTGTTTGAATATTTGTACGATGTTAATATTTAAATTGTGTACTTAACTGTTTTTATTTCAATCTTATATAATAGTGTTGTCTAATACTTGTTCATAAATCCTAAGTAAGAATATTGAATGCCAATAATTCCAAATATGCATGTTCTCAACTTATTTGTTATATAGTATTGTTGAAAGTATTAAAATAGTACTTATTAATACTTTCAACACTACTATATGAAAAATAACTTGCGAACATGAACATGATGTAGTTACATTGAAAAGTTGAACGGTTTCCTTTGGCTTTACCTTAAAAGAGCATTTTACCTTGTTCACATAATATACAGAATTACATGAAATTTGTATCAGAAACATCAGCCGTCGCAACAATGCGACTCATAAATAATGTTCCTATCCGAATATTATAATAATACCAAATATAGTTCGATAAGTTAAAAAACAGATTCTGCTGGTGAAAGACAATGACATAACCCCATTGTCGTCGTATTGCTGTAACACACCGCCCCAGAGACCGCTACAATCAGTTGGTATGTCACTTTGTGGGGACATACCAGAGACGTGCTTATCTCTCACGTTCTCCAATTATCTTTTAGGATGTGGTCTGGAAATACAAATAACACGTACCACTCTCAACTCAATACCTCAACATATGGGCTCAGGTCTGCGTCAGGGATTATATTATGTAGTGGTACTCATAATCACATACTGACCATTTCACAACCAGTATAACTCTGTCTAGGCTACTTCCAATTCTGTCGGTAAATGTCTCCATTAATTCGATAGTTCTCTATAATTTATATTACGTGGTGTCAGTCAGTCTGTCTCATACCTTTTAATACTTATAAAAGGATACTTTATTTTAATACTTATAGGAGGGTACGAGACTGAAAGTCATAAGTATCAGTATTCATGGTATGTAATAAAGTAATAAATATTTCTATCGAGGATCGCCCAAACTTAAAGTAAATATTTAAAATATTCTGTTTGCTATAACGCTATTTTATTATAAATTCTCGACAATCTTGACTTGAATGGCATTCTGTCTCGGCCTACTTACTAAGTTACGCTCTAAACTTCTATTGATCCTTTCAGATGTTTTAAATCGTGTTATAAAGATTATTAATAATTAGATATAAAGTTCGTATTTTGCAACAAATGGGGCACATTTTAAATTCATAAAATCTAATCTACAGGGAACCTCAAACAGAGTATAAACAGACAAATTCTCATTAGAGTTAATTGTTTTACCTTTATTCATTAGGTTTGCGAAGCATAATTGAATTTTCCAGTGCAGTCTTATCATGAAGTCCTCCATTGAAGTTAGATTAAATTAAGGACTGACCACGTTGCATTTGCAGAGTTGCACGTTTTGTGTCTAATTTTTAAAAGAATCAGGTACCACACATAAATGTGTCGGAGATTTGAATTGTTAAGATTAGTCAGTATAATAATGTCCAGGATTGGGTGTTGTTATTTTTCTTCTCGCTAACTTAACAAAAATTCGTGCGATTTTTCATCTTCTTCCATTATTGTAGTTAATAATAGTCTGTTTGAAACCATTTAACCAATCCTAATTTTAACCAATCAATGCTTATCATTCATAGTATTAGTATTAGTAGGGCTAACCGATAAACCGATAGGGAAAATGAGTTTGCTCCTTTTTACAGCTTGCCTCTTGTGCTTAACTTACGAGGTCGCTGCATTGAACTGTAAGAAGGAAAGGGCGAACGAGAAAGGTACTGGAACTAACAACTATGAATTGTCATCAGTTTTAATTTTCAATTAGTAAACCTCATTTATTTTATGATTATATGCACACACGCCACTCGACTCTTGACTGGTAATTATTGCTTTGTGTAAAAGTCTAGAATTTAGCTAAGCTGACCCTGATCTAATATAATACGATGTTCATTTTTCATTGTAAGTAATTGAAATGACTAATACGTCCATAATTATATTTGAAATAATCATGAACGTGTTAGTAAAAAATTACTTTATTAAAGTATAAAGTAATTATATATCACCAAACCATAGTTTTGCCTAGCATAATTTGGTAGACTGTAGAGGGTCTTTGACCCTGGTAATAATGCCCGGATGTAACCAGTAACGCGGGTCCCATGCCCTCACAGACATGAGCTGAGCAATTTTACCCCCGTTGCAGAGAGGAGTAGATTCTTCAGGCACATTTATGTGTGTGAATACTGCCAGTAAACGCAATACGCATTCACCCCAGAATATAATGTCCTCTGATACAGATAAACCCTATGTTATTATTGAAAGGACCAAACATACTATGTAAGAGGTCCGGAAATGTTTCCATTTGTGCTTTTATCATCGATCACCTTCCACTTCCAGTCGATAAATAACTATCTTTTGATGATTTGCTCAGGTAGACATTTTAACCTTCTCCTTTGTGTAATATATTTATCCGGTAAAATAAAGTTGGTAAAGTAGTAACAGTATGACTAAGTTATCTTGTTCCAGCAATAAACGAGTTGGGCTTGGAATCTGACGACTATCGAGAGTGGAATTATGTTCCTGACTGTCAAGATAAGCCGAATGACAAATCATGGAAACCACACCAGGTCAGTTAACTTTACATAAGTTGCTTCAATAATGTTGTGGACAGTTCATGTAAGCTGTTTATTAAAGGAAAACTGCCTTCTTAAAATGTCATCCAGATTTCAGACTGAAAGTGAATACCATAACTTAAGTAAATCCGATCGAAAACTGCATCTACCTTTCCCTTAGTGCAAAGTACACAAGACCAACAAGAGACTGAAAAGATGTAAATGCGTTGAGTCAGACGGTACTCCCATCACTGACTTTGCTGCTAAACTCAATAACAAGAAAGTGTGCAGCTCCACCAAGTGTGATGACGTTTCTCTCGTTAGAGACTACACGTGAGCAAACGCTGTTTATCCTTTTATCTTAAGTCTCGAAGTTTAGTTATTTACACTTAATTTGTGGCTAAGCAATCTGAACCTTTTTAACTAACAAAATATTCGAAATATTTAGAGTATGTTTTGAGTATTCAAGTATCATATCAACGAACATAGTGAAGCACTGTTTTATTTCACAGTTACGAGATGATGATTGCGCAAGGAATGATTGTGGACGCTTTCCATTTCCCCCAATGTCAAAGCAGGAACAGGAAGAAGTGGGCGGAGGAGCAGTGCTTGATGGGATTTATTCGACACTGCTGGACAGTGAACGTCAAAACCGGAGAGAGAATCGAATAAGCTTGTGCCATGGGAATTATGGACAGATTTTAGGCTTAAAAGCCTATGCCGTATATGTTGCAAAAATAGCAACTTATTACCCTAAAAGTTTCTTATAAACTGAAAATAAACTTAAAATAATTTGCTCATCGTGTTATTATTTTGATTTATTGTGGGAAAGAACTAGCCTTTCATTTTGCTGTTTTACTTAAGAATCTTGAAAAGTATAATTCTATTTCTTACATGCGTAATGAGTTAGAAATGAAAATATAAAATGAGAACATATCCACACCAAAATGAGTTCACTGTAGGAAAAATTCAAAAGATGGCATTACTGATCACCCCACTGATTCTGGTATTAAACTAATTACAGCATTACAAATCTATTACATTTATTGAGGATATTACAGAAGGAATATATGTAATCCGAGGAGTGCTCACTCTCCTCGCGTCCTAAGATGACGTTTCTCTTGACGCATATATACCGATACGGGTTTATAACGTGATTAAAACAATATTATGTTTTTTGAAATTGTGTATTATCGTGATCAAGTCATTACTAAGTTACTAGAATGATTCAAAATGGAACTATGATACTGATTCCGCGAATAATTGAAACTGTGGTACCACTACCAACAGACGCTATACTAATAGCATTTTATCACTCACAGTGACCCCATTCTTACATTCTATAACAAATTTGTTATCTGTTCACATAAGCAGGTGAGATCACCACGACATAAGAGCACCTTATAATGTAATATTACTGGCATACACTCTCACTGGCCTACAGAGTCAAGGCACATGTCACGTGTCACGTGTCACGTGTCACGTGTCACGTGGTGTGTCACTAACTCACTAACTGGTCAGTAGCCAAGACTGTCACTAGATGATTAGATGAATGAGATCATCGCAATGAGTCAATATCCTCCTGTATTGTGTATAATAACCGCGAGCTCTTCCCTTAATAATGCCATTGCTAGCGATTTTATTACTTGTGTAGCAGTGCTTTTTTTCAAGTTTTCAGTGTTCAGTAAACTATCACAAGATCACTTCATTGGTGTTTAGTCACGTGGTATTACGTAAGTACAATCAGACACGTGTCTGCCCAGAGAAAGTGAGAGTTCCGCCGTTCCGGGATAGTTTTGCTTTTGGAAAGTGAGGTCAGGCTGATTAAGCTAGTGTAGTGAGTGTTAGTTTTAATTTTGTGGATTGTCCTAGTCAGACAAGGTTACTTTTTTGCATTCATGTATTGGTCAGGGGTCGTTCAAATATTACGTAATCAGCCGAGGGGGGAGGGGTTTTCCATATGCCTAAATGTTTTGTCGTTGATTACGTAATCAACATTTTCTTTTTGACCCTTTAGAATAATAACAATTTGACAATATTTTGATTCAAATTCCACTCAATTTCACTCTGATAAAAATGGGGGGGAGGGAGGGAAGGAGGGAAGGATGGAGGGAGGGAGGGAGGGAGGGAGGAAGGGAGGGAGGGAGGGAGGGAGGGAAGGATGGATGGAGGGAGGGAGGGAGGGAGGGAGGGAGGGAGGGAGGGAGGGAGGGAGGGAGGGAGGGAGGGAGGGAGGGAGGGAGGGAGGGAGGGAGGTAGGGAGGGAGGGAGGGAGGGAGGGAGGGAGGGAGGGAGGGAGGGAGGGAGGGAGGGAGGGAGGGAGGGAGGGAGGGAGGGAGGGAGGGAGCCAGAATCCACATCTATTAGGTATCTAACATGGTATACTTTAATACAACTTTACTAACCAACTCAATATTATTTAGAAATTATGACACAGAGTAAAAACCCAAAAAAGATAAAAATGCTGACAATGGTAATGCTGGCTATGAGCCTCATAACTCTTATTACCTTCCTTCTCAATGATAGAGGTATAACATACATTATTGTTAGCGTTACATCAAAAACCACATTTTCAACCATCCATGAACAACTACACGTGCTAACTTACACGTGCCAACTAACCCTGTGTCCTTCACATATTACATATTACACTTCAAAAGTACGATTCTAACTCTAATTACTCTACCCTCTAGGAAAGGAGGTAGTGACAAGCCTGCTGAGGAGCGAGTATAAAGACAACAGATCACAACTCCACTTTTACTCAAAGAAGGAACCTGCCTCAGTTAACCTGGACTCCCTGTGTAAGAACATAGAGACCCACACTGCTGTGAAGCTAGAGATCTGGAAAGACACAGTGTCAGCAGGAAGGGCGCAGTACCTTCTCCCGAGTGATATGGACCTGGCTTATCATGCTATTATGGTGTATGAGACTCAGGACCCTATGGGAGTGAGACACTTCTGGTCTCAGGAGAAACAAAGAGACGGACTAGTCAGTGGCGTAACGTTGCCTGTTGGCGCCCCCCTGCCGAAAAAAGCGCCCCCTGTTGGCGCCCCCTCCCCTTTTGGTGCCCCTCCCTAAAATTGAACAAATTAGGTGATTTTAAAGAATACGCCGGTAAAATCTCTAAAAAAGTGTGTATCTAGAGCAAAACGCGCAGTTTTGCTAGTACTTTAGTTAAGTTTTCGAAATTGTCCCATATTCAAACGACGATTTGGCGCCCCCCTAAGACGGCGCCCCCCTGCACAGCGGGGTCAGCAGGGGCTTTCGTTACGCCACTGGGACTAGTGCTCCAACACAGGTACTCCGCGCTTATTTCATCCCGCTTATATGTCCGGAACGAGTTTTTATTGTTTGAAGTTTCATCATGCAGTCCGAAGTGGATCTTTCACTGTTTACCTAATCATACAGTTCGCAGGGGTAGTTGCTGTTAATGCCACTGAAGCAATGAGTCGAATGTTATACTTAGTACTCGGATATTACAGTTGAATATTAGTCCTTAAATAATATTATCATTTTTCAAATAAGCACTTTTGGCAGGGTTTCATACCATCATCAATTAACTGACTATAATTGGTCTCCGGCCAAAATGTCCGTCCAATCTGTCAAATTTGTGTTCAGAAATTTGTTTACTTGAAAATGGGACAGAGTTTGGAAAATAAAAATTTTCGTTTTGTCATAAGTTTTCTGTTGTAGGCTTCCTCCGACCGAAAACTTCCAGCACCTCAATCGTGTCATATGCCACTTACAGTTTACTGACTAATTGGTTGCGGGCGAGAAATTTAGTCAAAACTATAAAATTTTGGTCCTGGAAATTCGATCTTCGAAAACTGAAAATGGGACCGAAAATAGGACAATATGATTTTGCAATTTTATTCGGGATTTTGACTTCCAGTACCTCAATTTGGTTTCATACCATCATCAATTAACTGACTAATTGGTTTCTGAGCAAAAAGTTCACCCAATCTGTCAAGTTTGTGTTCAGAAATTTTCTTATCTGAAAATGGGACAGAGTTAAGAAAATATGAATTTTCGTTTTGTTAAGTTTTCTGCAGCGAGCTTCCTCCGACTGAAATCAAACTTCCAGCCCTACACCTCAATTGTTTCATATGCCATTATTTATTTAATATATTTAAACATGCTGCGTGTTTGTTAAAAGTTATCTATTAAATCTACAGTACTAATAAAGAGTTAAGAAGATGAGCGGAAGAAAGAGAATAGGAGAGGGAGCTTGGAAAACTGACCCGGAGCTGCTGCTCCGGGACTCTTCGAGTTCAGGTACGTAACACTATTTAACACTGTTTGACATTTTACTAAAGTTTACCACCATCCAACAATTCTAAATGTGTTAAGAATATCACAAATTACCATCCCGCAGGATTAGGGCCAAATTATGGTATTTTATCTTTGTAACCACGGGAAACACATAGCAGAGAAGCACTCCAGTTACAACGTCTACAACAGCAACTGTAAGCACTTTGTACAGGATTTGTACGAACTTATGACTGATAAGGAGATACGAATAACAAGCTGGCTAGAGGCTTAATCAGAGAGAGCGGTGGATATATCAGGACTGAGATAGCTATTGTGTGCGTTTTTGTTGTAACTTGTAAGATATTAAAATTGTTGTAAAATTTACAGATAAAATATTTTGTTATAGCACAATTATATAACGGATCGTTTGAATTGTCTGTTTACTGTCTAGTTTACTGTATTGAATAAAAATGGTTTTCCGACCTTTAGAAATACTCTTTAATAAAACGTAAGGCTCGTAGATAGCAGAAAGTTCAAACTTTCATTGTTTATTAAATAACTGGAGATAAAGTTACATGTATTTATAACCCGGATCGGATGGTGTCAAGACACTTTTTTTAAAACCACTTGGGGATCAAAATTTGGGGGTCTAAAATCACCATTTTACGGCTATTTTTCTATTTTCTAATATCATTATAAAGACAAATAGCACATATTACTATGATAAAGACAAAATTTGTGATCAAATTCAGGAATATGGTTGGCCGCTATCGCAAGAGATGGTGGTATCAGTAAATGGCAACAGATTTTAACATTAGTCTAGTACAGCTGACCTGTCAATATCCACATATCTTAATAATGCTGTGTACAAAGTTGATAACAAAGTGTATGCAATAGTTATGTAGATAAAACGTCAGGTGACCTAGTTCATTGATAAACAAATTCATTCGCTAATCGATTGCTGACTTTTCCTGCCAGAACATGTTGGTACTTGTATGTCGCTGCCAGTTCATGATTGTTCAATTATTGGTGCATTTTGGCAAACAAGAGACACATTTTGTTGACACAGGTCTTAAAGGAAGTGTTGGAATTGTATTGTAAATGTGTTGTTTATTATTACTAGCTTTTCAATAACAAGCAACTTTGATTTATAAATTGCAGTAATTTAGGGTTGATGGCATCCACACACTCATACCCACTCCGTTCCTCTTGTGCGAATAGACGAAGATGTTCTGGTAAGTCATAACTGTCCTATCAGGTAACAGTTATGGAGTTTTGAAGCATCTTTTAACAGCCAATCGTAGATTATAATACCACTTAAGACACTTATCGAACTAAGAACAAGCATTTGCAGGCTGTAGTGTGTAACTACTTGCTAACTTGCAGTTTGAATGGCTTAAAATGAAGTACATGGCAGCCTGATAGCAGATAATAATCGGTGATTAGATTGGCGACATAGAAGAGAAATTTGGTATTAAAATAGGATGCTTGGTGTGAAACTAGTCCTTCTCAAAAATTTACTAATACATTATTCACTAATAAAATAAGGTGCCCAAAATAACGTTATTCAAGAACGATTAAAATTACAAATTTACTAGACGACTAATATTACCACTGTATATTATTGCATTAACGCTACCTTTCATTCAAACATTTTTCTTACACCAGTGCAAGAGGAAATCGTGTCAAGTCCTGAAGTAGAAGAGACTGTAGTGAACAAGCAGACAAGCAAGGACCACAAATCTAACTCCATCACCTGTCCCGAACTTACCCTAAGTGGCGACAGTGGTTATCTGGACCCAGATTCTCAGAGTTTGAACTGCACACTTGATCTGAGATCTACCGACTCTGATAATGCCAGTATTGACATAGGCACCCAAAGTGACTTGTCTTTTCTGTCACCTATTAAACACTCAGTACGCCAGTATGGGACGAAGAGACCTCCGCTGGAGATGTCTCCAGATTTGGCGCATAAATTCAAGCGGATGAAGTTTACGAGAGAATCTGTCAAGGCCAGGCCACCATTGAGAAGAAGAAAGAAGCCAACTGGAGATTCTCATTACATCTTGTCGGTGTCACCAGAAAAAACTGGCCAGTCCACTTTAACTTTAAGAGCAACTGCTAACACACATTTACTAGGCCAGACTTGTACTTTGCAGTGACATCGGGCAATGATCTGGTGTTGCTTTTAATATGCAAACTTATTGCATTATTGTAACATTTTGTTGTTTTGAAAACTTATTTTCTTAGCTTTTGGATTTGAATAACAAACTTTTAAAACAAATAAAGCAGGCAGTTTTTTCGACATAATCCTCACAGCCAAGAGGGCAGAGGTCCGACAAATAACAGATCGAGCGGCCGGAGAGCCTGATCGAATTGAAACGCGCGCGTCATCTCGCGCAGTAATGTCTAGACAAAATTGATTCGGCGCAGCGCCCTCCGTCCATCCAATAACGGGATACGGCGCCAAATGGAATAAATTTGAAACTATAGTAATTCATAATACATATTATCATTAAAAGTTATGTACTACACAACCACGAATTAAAACAGACTATATCGTAAGTCTTTAATAATCTGAGAATACATATGTACATCAGCATATTTACTATTGCGAATATTGTGATATTGTCATTAATTTGTGTTTTTATTTCAAAATGAATCATTGATCGTTGAATAGATACGAGCTTAATTAATAAATACACGTCAAAAGTTAAATGTACAGCAGGGTTGCAGGGTGGCATCTCATCGAAACCCCAGTAGAGAAATGTTCTGATTTCTGAATCATAAACAACCTATCAAATTAAATCTCTCACCAGTCACCACGAGAAATCACTGTCAGTTTTGTCGAACTCAACTTGCTCGATATGCTCGGAATCATCTTGTCTTACAGCAGATGGCTGTCCAGATTTGCCAGCTTTATTTTCCTCCTTGTTCTGCAACACTCTGTTCAGATACTGTTGCATCACAGGGTCTAGGTTCTCCATAATGTCAGTCTTTTGGCCATCACCGGGTGTCACTGTTCCGACACCGGGTGTCACTGTTCCGACACCTGCTGAGGGTGTTATTGTTTCGACACTAGCTGAGGGTGTTATTGTGGATTGAGAAGGGTTCTCCTCCTCTGATAGTACATGATGAGTTGGAGCTGGCTCTGATACCCTCGCCGGTCCAGCAGATTCTATAAGTTTAGGCTTTTCCGGCTTTCTAGCAGCAGGAAGGTATGATCTATTTTGGGGTGGCACATTATGCTGAATATTAAAGTTCTCCGCAGGTTCAGGTACAGTGCCACTAATAGCCATTCTTGCTATATCCGTCATATTACTGTTCCTAAAGGAAACAAACTCCCGCTCCAAAGCTTGCTCTTCCTCTTCAAGCTGATCAAATAATTTACGGGAGCCAGCCACAATAGATCTAGTGGGACGGAGGATAGAATCGGAAGAAACGGACACATCTGATAGAAGCTTGGTGCTTTGCTCGGAAATATCCTCGTCAGCGTCCGCGTCATCTCCAAGTCGCACCGAGCTTAGATACTGAGAATAGAATTCGGCTTAAAGATCTGGATTATTGAAATTTATCATACAGCGAATTTAATGTCAAGAGTCCAAACGCCAAGGTCAGTGAACCATTTACATTTTTTATCTAAGTTGATAGACAAGCTTGCTGACAAACACTAGATGTGGCAACTCCTACCTTTTTCAAGAAGTCAGGCATCTCTGTAGAGGTAGGTTTCGGTTGTGAGGATACAGCATGATGAGCCCTACATTCCAGAAACTGGTCTCTGAGCTCCGTTTGGGCTGATAACCTACTCTTCTGTTCCCGCTCTAACTCCGACTGTATCTTGTTCACCTAAATTTACACAATTCAAAACTTTACCATTGACAGAGAAAGGAACAAATAGAGTTAGAAAGAAAACGTCACGCAAAAACCAGAAGCATGTATAATTTCTACCCTTTTGCAATATTTCCCAGCCTCCCAATAGACAAACCAATAGACAAACCAATAGACAAACCAATAGACAAACCTGGTTCTTCAGCTCATTAACTTGGTTATAATGTCTGTGTTTGAGTTTGGTGAGCTCATTAACAGCATCACTTTCCGTCTGACTTGGTCTGGACAGTTGTTCCCGGAGTGAGTATATTATCTCCTGAAGCTGTGTCTCGCTCTGTTGTGAGAGACGTCTCTCTTTATCAAAACTCTCCTGAGGAGTAAATTGGGATCCTTCATGATCACAATGATTTGATAAGAACTGTTGTTGATTGACGACGTTAAGTTTGATCAACACAGTTTTTGTAGTAATCAAATAACCAATCGGTTAAGTAAGGGGTTAGAAGAATTGAATAGAACATCTGAATAGAAATTACCAGCAACTGTTTTCTTTCAGCCTCCATGGAAATTAGACTATTCTTGATTTGTTCGTAATCAGCTGTGACGGTCAGCTTAGCTTCATAATGTAATGCTTGTGATCGAGCTGTATCCAGTTGTGCTTCCAACAACACTATACTGAATGTATTGTTTGTAAGTACATTGTGTAGTGTGTACACTATACTGAATGTATTATTAGTAAGTACATTGTGTAGTATAGTGTGTACACTATACTGAATGTATTATTTGTAAGTACATTGTGTAGTGTGTACACTATACTGAATGTATTATTTGTAAATACATTGTCTACAACAACACTATACTGAATGTATTATTTGTAAGTACATTGTCTACAACATCACTATACTGAATGTATTATATTTAAATACATTGTGTAGTGTGTACACTATACTGAATGTATTATTTGTAAATATATTGTGTAGTGTGTACACTATACTGAATGTATTATTTGTAAGTACATTGTGTAGTGCGTACACTATACATGATGGCGGATTTTACTTTAAACGTGAACTATTAACACGGAATTATGATGGATATATTTTGTGTATAGCTTGATAATTTCTCTACTAAGTATTGCAATTATCAACATAATAAAAATTAATTAATAACATTAATTAAGATAACATCTTAATAAAGATAATATCTTCCAGGTTACCCACTTGTCCTGAATATTGGCGTTATCTGTTCTCAGTTTCTTCACCTCCTCAACATGTGTATCCAGACCTGTTCGGGTCCTCATGTGATCCTCCTGCTCTTCTTGCAACTAATTAGAGTACAATTATTAATTAATTAACGTAATTACTTTCAACTTGCACTAAACTCCAAAGTAACGAGAAATGCGGTCATATTGCAGCCCAGAGTCGAAAAGGAAGTCTGCTAAAAGGAACACCATACGGCACGTGACTGACCTGACTTTCTTTGGCTGCTATTTTCTCCTCCCTTTCCCTCAGCTCGCCTTTACACTGTAGCCTAGCCTTCTCCTTGTGTTCCTGCAACTTGTTTCTGAAGTCCTCTTCTCTGCGAGGCATTTAATTAGGTGGGAAGGTTATCAAGTGGGAATGTGATAATAACCATAGTTTACCCCTTACTCCTTACTCCTTACTTGTTACTCCTTACTTGTAACTCCTTACTCCTTACTCCTTACTTGTTACTCCTTACTCCTAACTCCTTACTTGTTACTCTTTACTTGTTACTCCTTACTCCTTACTTGTTACTCCTTATTCCTTATTCCTCTTATTCCTTATTCCTTATTCCTTATTCCTTAATACTTGTTACTCCTTGCTCCTTACTTGTTACTCCTTGCTCCTTACTTGTTACTCCTTACCCATTACTTGTTACTCCTTACTCCTCACTCATTACTCCTTACTCCTTACTTGTTACTCCTTACTGCTAACTCCTTACTTGTTACTCTTTACTCCTTACTCCTTACTTGTTACTCCTTACTGCTTACTCCTTACTTGTTACTCTTTACTCCTTACTCCTTACTTGTTACTCCTTACTTGTTACTCCTTACTCCTTAAGTTATCCTTTTGACTTACTTTTCTTTGAGGTTAGTCCCCCGTTCCTCTAGTCGAGCCTGCAGTATACCTAACTTCTCCTGGTCTAAACAGACCTGGTTCTTGGTAAGCGCATGTTCGCGCTCCAACTGACTTGAGCGCGAGCGTAGTGTTTCTAGTTCTGATAACAACAACTGACGCTCTTTGAATAGCCCTGCCTCTGTGTCTGCTTTCTGTAATAGATTGGGTAATTAATACCCGGTATGTCTTGTCAGAATAACCTTCAAAAGAAATAAAGTCAGTGATGAGGGGAGAAGAGGGAGAAGATGGGAGAGTTCAGGTCAGTTGAACGTTACTTTTAATCTTACTGGTAACTAAATGCCAGGTAATAGCGAGAGCTCGCAGTACATTAGATGAAAACTCGTTTATGTAAAGAGGATAAAGATAGAGTTTTACTGAGGTTAGGTGTAACACGAAAAGCTGTTATAGTGATATAATATGTAAAGGTATAAAGGAAGAAAATGTTTGGGTTGGACATTTTTGGAATTGCAATACATTAAATTTGAATAAATAGCTTACATGATTAATAATAAAACCATAACAGTCACTCAAGACAAGAATTGAAACAAAATATCGGCACATTTGACAACACCATTAACATGACGACAAAGATGAAAGCACAACTAAAAGTTGCAGGAGATAAAATAAACAAAATGTCCTATTAAAACTAAATGCACTGTTCTTAAGTTGACACGTTGGTGCAGGATGACTAAACCAGCCCAATTCCCGAGTGCTGTTTCCTGAGTTGCAAGTCAGGACTCTCTCTCCCACCAACTTATCGTCTCCATAACAAGCGAATGTGACGGTAGCTCCGCTCGGATAAGGAGCCCCAGGCCAGATCATATTCCTGGTATCTCCAGCAGCAGTGTCAATATAGAGTCCCCGGATAAAGGGGACAATATCAGCCCCAATATCCCGGCACCCAGGAGCACAGGTGATGAGCTGATCACGTGGTGTGGTGTACACTCCCTCCCTACACTCAGTCAACTCCACACCTTTATCTCCCTGACCGGGCACGTGACCAGTGTTACACGTGACCTTGTATCTAGCAGGGGGCACTGGAGCACTGTCTGGGGCGGAGGAAGGGTAGGAGGTGTTACCTGGTAACCCCGTTACTAAGTAACCAGAACCGAACTGAACTTCAGAACACCCAGTCTCACACCAGGAAGTAGAGGTGTTAAACACATCTGGAGATAGTACCCCAGTGTTGGAACACACAACCTCTATCTTCCTGAAGATGTTGTACTGAAGGTTATCTCCGCCCAGCAGGCTAACTATCCTGTTTCTGAACGTCTTGACAGGGTCCTTGCAGGCCAGAGTCACACTAGATCCGTATATCAGTAGCCTGGTCTCGTTACCACCCGTCGTGTTCACGTGACTTAACACGTGTTTAGGAGGGCTGAGGGTTAGTTCACGTTCCCACAACACATGGTTACCCAGGATACAGTGTAATGAACTGTTTGTTTTATCAGAGAAAGTTGTGGTACTGGATATGGAGGGAAGTAGAGCAGTGAGAAACAACAAACACACCTCCTGCTTCAACATCCTGCACTGGATGTGTTTTTATCTTTATATGCGGAATTATGCAAAACTAGCTTGTGTATCATTGATGGAGAGCTCTAGAATCTAGATTCTAGTAGATATATATTAATATATTCTAAACATAAATAACAGATTGATAAATAATAAATGACGTTATGTTAAATAAATTTCCCCCAACGGCCAACATACTAATGTCAACAGGGGCGGGGACAGAGAAATATGACAATAAATACAGGCTTGCTCTACATGCAAATTAGATCACAAAAAATGCAACTCAGTCGCTGATGAATACAGACACAATTTCGGACAGACCGTGATTAGAGGAGACTTTTTAAGAGCACATCGCATTATCACGTGAATCAATTAAAAGAGAGTATATTATAACAACCTAGTGCTTACATAGACCTGATTCATGGACTTAGTAACTTGTAATGGAGTACTATGATCTGAATATTGAGAAGCCAGTCACGTGAAAAAGTTTCAATTTGAAAAGGACAAGAAATTAACAAGAAATTAACAAGAAATTAACAAGAAATTAACAAGAAATTAACAAGAAATTAACAAGAAATTAACAAGAAATTAACAAGAAATTAACAAGAAACCAACAAGAAACCAACAAGAAAACAACAAGAAAAAAACAAGAAACCAACAAGAAACCAACAAGAAAACAACAAGAAAAAAACAAGAAACCAACAAGAAACCAACAAGAAAACAACAAGAAACCAACAATAAACCAACAAGAAAACAACAAGAAAAAAACAAGAAACCAACAATAAACCAACAAGAAACCAGCGAGAAACTAACAAGAAACCAACAAGAAACCAACAAGAAATCAACAAGAAATCAACAAGAAATCAACAAGAAAACAACAAGAAAACAACAAGAAACAAACAAAAAATCAACAAGAAACCAACAAGAAATCAACAAGAAAACAACAAGAAAAAAACAAGAAACCAACAAGAAACCAACAAGAAACCAACAAGAAAACAACAAGAAAAAAACAAGAAACCAACAAGAAATCAACAAGAAATCTACAAGAAATCAACAAGAAACCAACAAGAAAACAACAAAAAACCAACAAGAAAACAACAAGAAACCAACAAGAAACCAACAAGAAACTAACCAGCTTATCAAGAGCCCTGGTACTCTCAACCTCCCGTTTGTGTAAACCATCGAGTCTCTGTCTGTACTCAGTTTCGTAGTCGCTTAATTTCTTGTTGAAATCTTTGTTTACACGATCCCGTTCTAACAGCTTGTACCTTTCTAGTTCCAACTCTTTAAAGCGTTCTACCTGTGACAGGAGACATAATTAATTCATATGGGAGCAGACAAGGCAAAGTAGTGAGAGAGAAGTAATCAATCAAATATATAAACTTAAGAAATTTTTGATCGAGTATGGGTGCCTCTAAGTATCAGGGCCTCTGTGACCTGTGTTGCCGTAGTGGTAACATAGAACTGCTACTATTATAATAGTGGTCACATCTACAATCCGAATAAAGAATCTTGAGTGGTTTTAAATTTATACAAACCTCCAACTTGACGATGTCCTGAATCTGTTTGTTTTCCATGTTAATTTTTTGGAGCTGCTTATCCTGTTCTGACAAGAAATGATCAGCAGGCAAATCAGCATACTTCTCATCCAGCATATTCAGCTTATCCTGTAGGGTAACCGCCTCCGTTTGAATAGCAGCAGACTCGACCCCCTGTCCACAAGACTTGACCACTGCTTCCAGGAAGGAGAGAAGAGGACTTGTTGTGGCTTTGTTTGAAGCAGTAAGAGCCCGTGCTAGCGAACTGTCGTCGGAGACGTTCAGCAGACGCAACCATTCTTCATAGTTCAGCCCCTTATCACTGAGAGGTGAACATAACTATCAATTATTACATGTATCAGCATTAAATTGGAGGATCTTTACTGTAGATAATTAACAATTTTCAAATCGACCATGTTTAAATATAATAGTTAATCACAATGTAAAGAGAAACATAAAGGAGCATAAGCAATACCTAATGTTTGCCTCGCTCAGGAAAGTGGAAAGAGAATAATCATAATGGGAGTGTTTTAGATGAGCAGCTGTTATCATATCACCAACAAGAGCTGCCTGGGTGCTTTCTTTCTCTGTACCCTGGTTAATGTCATGGTGAACTATTCAATTTACATCATAAATGTAGTTGATGATAAAAGGTTTCAAACGTTATTGCTTAAACTACATTTTTGTCTTAAACTACAAGTAGCTCTTTAGAAAGTGCTACTTGTTATTACAACACACAAAACATGACCTAATCCCATAGAAATTTAAAATGGTGCTGAAAAAGTGTTTTTAGAACAGAATGTCTACAGCAGTTAAATTGCTGTTCAAGCAAATTTATGTTTAGGATAAATGCTTACCTTCAAAGAAAGTTGAAGCGCAATTTGTTGACGGAGATGGGACTTAAAGGAAGAAACAATTCCCTTTTTACTGAGTGACTCATACAAAGCTTTTCTGAATTCATCTTCAGATAAACTTTCACCCATTCGTTCTGTATAATAAATTTTCTTTATCATTCATAGTCTGACTAACTCTATTTTTTATAGAGAAGGTTTTCTTCCAATCCACTTAATGTTGAAAACTGGAGCGAAAATCAACAAATAACGGACTTCAATGCATAAAATATACCAATTGAATGTGCAAATGAAATATACTAATGAAATTTATCAATAAATGTAGCTGTTAAATTTACCAATACATTTAACCTTCAAAAGAGATAAAAACGGTGAAATAAGACAAATAAACCAAATCAAACATTCAATTCATAAACCCTTTATAAAATTAACAAATTTGAAATATGGAAAGTAAGGTGACTTAGAGCTGACTATGATGAAAAGGAAACATGTAGACTCCTTTTCATTATGAAATCTTCCTTATGTCAACCACCTTTCAACCTGTAAATGCATGTCCAAGTTGAATCGCCAATCGATCCTTTATGAAGTGTTATACACCCGTTCAAGAGGTGAAGGTTTTCCAGGGGAACATCTTCATCCACCTCTATACTTTTAGCGTATTTCCCTCCATCCTCCCTTTTAACTTCATCCATGATCTAAACATGTAGGCATGAATATGGAAACCAGCCGTTGATAAATATGGCTCAACACCTTTGTATAAAAATATAACAAATCAAATCATCAAACACAGACAGTGGAGCTATATCAGACACGTGTGAGGACTTACCTACCGTATTTAAATTTTTAAAAAGTTAATAAAGACAAAAGTTTCATAGGGAACAGATACATGATCCATATCTGTTTAATGTCTTCTTTGATACATGTTTCGTATCCCAATATCAGAGACAATATATTTTCCGCCTTCGGCGGCGCGCGCTTCGCGCGCGAAAAGTGGCATGCAACGTATGTCAATGTCTTCTCAGTGACGTGACTGAGGGTTAATTTAAATCAAGAGATAAAGAATCTTCTAAGTACACCTAGTATCTACATTGTAGTATAGTATAGTGTAGCTATAAATATAGAACTGTAGCCTAAAAAAACAAAATTTTAAGAAAAACGAACAGGTCTGAAATATACAAGTCTCGAGCTATTCAATGGAAAAGAATTAACTATGGAATTGGCTGGTTTAACAACTTAAAGCCAGTTTTATCCATAATGCAATGATACGATCTGAATTGTGGTAGCTTTTGGGTAATAAAAAAATCAAATCAAAATATAATGACACAAACGTCATCACACATCATCAAAAATATATATACTAAAGTATCTAAAATTTATTGGCCTATACAACCAAGTTAAAAATGAATCTAATTTACATACTTTCCACTACTATATAAGTTGATAAAGCGTTTTTTAGCAACATGCGGATTACACAATACACATAAGATATTCATTGTGCTTCTCTTGTTTAATAACATAATTTAGTCCCTCAATCTTTCCTAATACTTCGTCCGAAACATACCAAAAATAACTATCATTTACATACAGATCCATTTAAAAAAGTTTCTTTTTTAAAAGCCTCTAATCTTATTTTAAAACTTAACGTCGTAATTGACGCTCGATCTTACTCAATCCTGATATGGAATATTTATATAAATATGTACATAATATGTTATATTAACCCATTTTAGTGTTTCTCATAATGTTTTATCATTTAGCTTTGTGCAAAAAGACTATAGTGTATATAATAGGTATACAGCGTGTGTCCAATTGTTAATACACGATGTCAACCCTTCGCATTTCGCCGATCTGCATATGTGGTTGCGAGAAGATGCACGGTGCGGCCCAATAGTGCATTGCGCTACATAACAAGTTGACGGATGTTACTCGTCTATAAATTTCTTCGAAGTTGCGCGCGCCGCTTTCTTCTCGAAATGTTATGGCCCGACGGCAAGTGCTACGAAGTAGCGCGCGCCGGGCCAGACCATTAACAATGGTCAAGCTACAAGCTTCAAATTGTCAATTGAAACAAACAAAATAGCCTTCGAGCTTGCAAGGATACAAGGATACAAGGATACAAAAGTGATAATTACTTTATTGAGTACACAATTGTAGGTTTACAACCTACCAGGACGCGCGCCGGGTTGGACTCGTCGACGGTCCTGTTCCAATATATGGAACAGATATTTTACGAGTATCACCCGTTAAAGTACACAATAGTTGTAATTCTGCATCTGAAATAATTTAAGTTACACAATTTTAATTATTTACAAGTGTGTAGGGATAATTTAGAAATGTTATATAATGCTAGTTTTAGAAAAATAGATAAATCGAGTTTGTATGGTTCAATCTTATTTTAAGGTCCTATAGCATTATTCACTTGCCAGTATTTGAGTGGAAATCTGGGCTCTTATAGTAGGCTGTATAATTTTTGTTCACAGAGAGAATTGAATGGATTGCTTTTGCTGTGGCAGTGAGTGTGGTAGGATCTAAAGTTTTGTTGGAGAGCAAACCGATTAGGTCAGTAATGTTTAGGGGATGGAAATTGAATTTTTCCCTAACTGAGGAGTAGAGCAAACAGTCAATCAATACGTGACTTTCGTCCTCAATAGGCTTGAGCCCTTTGCTGAAAAAGCAGTAGGTGCACCAACGTTCTTCTCTTGGTACAAGGGGGGTTTCGTATCTGCCCCTTTCGATGTAGAGGTTGTGGCAGCTGATACGAAACCTTGTCAGACTTTTTCGAACATCCGGTATTTTGATAATTCGTAGGTATGCCTCTGGTTCGAAATCATGTTTAATTAAGTTATAGAATTCTAGTTTTGGCGAGGAGGATTTGGCAGCTTTCCAGGTATTCACGAATTCTTCCCTCATGTTATGACTGATTTGGGTGGAGAGCTTAGATTTTGAGGAAGATGAGGGGGTGAAGTTGTATTTGGTGAGAAGCTTTGAGATGTTGGTATACCAAGGAAGTCCCAACATGATTTGTTCGTGAAATGCAGCACAGAGTAGTTCGTTTTCAGTGTTTTCAAGGCGACTATATAGTAATCTATTGCAAGTTTGCAGGCTTCAAAGAATAGAGGGTGGCGCCCGCTTTCGCCCCAGCAACCTATATTTGATGCTTTTGAATGTACAGACAAAGACCACTTGATAAACTTTAGGTGGAATTTTTCATAGTGGTCTTGTGCAATGTACTTCAAGGTATGCTGGGGGTTGGCTTTGTCATCTATTTTTGAAAGGTATCTCATGGTTTTTGAGTGGGGGCATAAGACTTGACAGCCATAAAGCAGGATTGGTTTTATTAAGGAGTCAAATAGAATATTAAGGGCACGGTGTGAGAGGGCATCCTTAACTATTTTGCCTTTGAGGCCATAGAGAGCACGGAGAGCCTTGGCCCTCAGCTCAGTATTTGCAGCTGTAAACGATCCATTTCTGTGGAATATTATGCCAAGATAGCAGTATTTATCGGTGTGCTGGATGGGCTGACCTCCTAATGTGAATGTTTCATAGGACTGCTTTCGTTTGGGAGGGCTGAATATTACAATCTTAGTTTTCTTAATATTTACTTCAAGGCCCATGGAGTTACAGAAATCAAATAGAATGTTGATATTGACTTGCAAGGCCTCGGGACTTAGAGCAAGAAGGACAAGATCGTCAGCCCACAGCAGATGTGATATCAGAACGTCAGCAAGAACTGGATAGTCACCAACAGATTTCAGGAGAGATGAAAAATCATTAATGTAGATTTTAAAGAGGTCTGGCGATAGGGGGTGTCCTTGCTCCGTTCCTTTGCCAATATCAATTTTAGGCGACAAGAGTTTGGAAATTTTTATATGGGCAATAGAGTTTTTGTACATATCACTTAGGCAGTTGAAGAAGTTACCGGTTATTCCAAGGCATGTAATTTTGTGCAGAAGGAGGTCCCTACATACAGTGTCAAAGGCCTTTCTTAGATCAACAAAGCATGCATAAAGATGAGTAGCGCGCGCCCGCACGGTACGCAAAAACTTATGGTTATGTCATATGTAAAGCTGAAAGCTCCTGATATGAGCGCCGCCCAGAAAAATTTAATATGAATAATAAAAACAAAACGCTGTCTGACTAGTGAGCGTGATTGCACTAGCGTGCAGTACGCATAGACTCGACATGGCTATGTACGTGATCTGAAAGCGTCGCGCGCGCAATTAATTCAAACGAATAAGGACGATAATATAAATATATATTAAATAAAGAAAGGACAACCAAAATCGAGCGCGGTTGTAATTAAACTCAAATATTTGCAGTGCTCCCGCTCATGATCAAATTTGTATTTACCTGAGGACCTTAGGCTATAATGTTCACAAATCTAAATAAAGATTTGGCGGAATGACAGGCTAAGTGTCGCTCAGGAGACAGGAAACATTTATTATTGCTTACATAACATGGCAGCATACATGATACATGGCATTTCGCATTTTATATATCACTCAGGCTCAAATAAGCGCACATAATAAAAAGGTCTTCTATTCGACTTTTGTTATTCTTTTTGAAAAATAGTCCAATTAATTTGTATATATTCTGTATGAGGTGCGAGAAGGAACTTTGTTATTATAGATAGTCTAGATTCGAACTTGGAGCCACAAGGCCAAGGGTGATTTTCAAAATTTTCTCCCAATTTTTGAGATAGTATAGGGAATATATTGAGTTTATTTATATATTGAGTCATTGTGACATTATGTATATACTGTTTGATTACAATCTTCTTCTCATTACATATATATTCTGTATGTATTTATTCTGAACACATTGCAAAGGATTTGATGCTTATAATTGGAAATTAATGTGGCTATTTGTAGTGGGCGTCAACTTCCATCCAACATGGTGTCAAGTCTCAAGAATGAGCTAATATAGTTAATATAGATTATAGAATCATGGGCTCCATATACTGCAGTGAGCAGTGACAAAGAAAACAAACCATGACACATTAAGTTTAGGCAGTAGTCTTGAAATAACTCCGATATCAGACAGAATAAAACTTAACACCAAACGCATGCATCATTGAATGCCACAGACTAATAAAAATGCACCCCCTCCAATTGTATCAATTGTTCCCATATATTTCTTTACATACACAACCACTTCTCTATTTGATGTCAACAATAACTCATATTTAGGCACACCCTCATGCTTTCAAGCTGTTTTGAAAGATCTAGTTGGTAACAAATCTACAATGCCTCCTGAAATAATCACCACTAAACGTGATACGGAAATAGGTCGACTTCTTGAAAGGGTCATTAGAGACCACAGAAGGGACATTTCAGCTTTTAGTAAAGGTCAGTTAATGATTATTAGTTATGTTATTGCAACAATGATTATTGTATTACACAGCGCTTATTTTGATTTTCACTTTGGAAGCTGATTTTATATTCTTGTAGGAAAACGTTGGCAAATGTGCATACTTTGATCACTGATTGAAATAGTTTAGATTGCGCGTTGTATTCTGAATTTTGTACTTATATACTCATTCCTCAAATTTATGTATTGCAATATTTTCAGGGCATCTGAATGAAAACAATCTATACAAACCTCCAGAGGCCGGTCGAAAATCTTGGGAAACTGCAAAGCTTCCAGCGATTAAATTAAAGCATGCTGTCTCTGTAAGTTTAACAGTTTAAATTTGATATAGAATTGGTATATTAGCTTCATCTTATAATAGTTAGAAATTCATTTAAACAAATTACAATGACTTGAAGTGAATACCTGCTTGTATTATAAACAAACATAATCCCACTAATTTACTGAATTGAATTAACTTCATGACAAATCTAATAACAATATTGTGTTCTTGTCAGGTAGGGAAGGAGACTCGTGATAAGAGGATGTGGGAAGCTGTGGCTTGTTTCTCTGCAGGTTCTGCTTTCCCAACCAGTCTCCCCAGTAGTCCGAACAGAAGGGATAGGGACGATGACATTCTCAAAGTGAGGCTGAAATTAACTTTTTATTGGCTAAACTTACGCTGGCAAGTGTCAAGTTCAAAAGTTACAATAGAAATTGTGAATAGCTGAGCACTTTTTGGCTAAGCTTAAAAATTAATTGTTCCAATTCTTTTACTTATTATATTATTAGCAATAATATACTTAGGGACTGAACATCGATCATGACAACATCAATCTAGAAGAGTTTGATGCATCTTATTTTCTGCTTCCCAAACCTGATGGATTTAAAGTAAGCAATATAAAGTGATTAGGAGGGTATTTATTTAACACATCAATTGAAGTTACTAATTAATTACTAATAATAATTTATAATTAATACACTTGCCTCCTCAGCAAATCGTAATTATATTACCTCTGACCATCCCTGCAAATATATTAATATGTCTGCGATAGGTTATGCCAAGTTTGAACGGAAGTATTAGAAAGAAAGATGAGGTAGAACAGAGGAAGTTGTATGATGATGAGGTTGTGGAGAAACATAATCTGACGGACAGGGGCTGGTATAACGGGACTAGAGCTCTTAAAAACATGAAGCTCGATAAAAGACTGGAAAAACTGATATCCAGGTAACAGAACACACCTTGCACACCGTGGCATAAGGCTTGAATATGTGTTTTAAATTTATTATTTACTGTACGAATTTCAATACTTACCTAAAATTAATTCCCTTGAGCTTACATGTTATTTAAAGTTCGACATATCTCAAATTTTGTATTAATATTCTGCGTCATTTCTCAAACAGAGTTACATATTCGACAGGTATATCGAAAACTGTGGGAAGAATTACTGACGAGATGCAATTCGTACAACCCTCTGTTGTCAGACATTAAAGGATTCTATCAGGGATATTTAGAATTCTTGAAGGAGAACAGCAAACAACCAACCCCTACAAACAGTAAGAAGCTTATTTTACCTGAAATAACAAGACATGCAGCTAATCTAGCTACTTTCTAACTTCTTTATCAATAATACATAATTACCAAGTATATACGAACATAATTCTGATTATTACTCTAAGTTACCTACGGTAAAATCATAACTTATCCGTGTGGCTGCAGGTAAAAGAATTGGTGAGGTGAGCAACAAGAAGGTTGAGATCGCACGCTTATCTGACGAAGTATCTGAACAGGAACGTAAAGCTATGAAACAGATGCGGGCAAACGATCAATTAAAGGAGGAACATGTAAGACAAAATTCCCTAAATAGCAACATTCCCTAAATAATTTACTTATATAATACAGCTTATACATGCATAATTTACTTATTCAATATTCATATATAATATACAATATACATTGATGATTGTATTTAATGAGGTGCTCAGCAAAATCCAGTATAGTTTGAGACATTTTTCAGGAATATCCAGCTAGTTGAATTGGTATTTATATAGAGTTTGAACTTTCTGTGTAGTAAATAGTAATGCAAATTTATTTTAGCTCATAACGTTTTCCAAGTAGAATCCATTTCAAATCGAAAAACATCGATATCAAATTGTTTGCAGATTACTTGTAATTATAACAAATCTTTTGCAGTACGTGACAGAGGCAGTGTTGTCAGAGGTAAAGATCCAAACAGAGGTGGTAGACTCAGCATCCTCCACTGACGTATCCATGTTGGAACCTCCTTCTATAGCCTTGAACATTGAACAACTTCGACGTGACATTCTACAGAAGCGATCTGAGATCGAGCAACTCCGGGTAATTTTATTATTCTATGTTTTTTAGCCTGAAGAATGAGGTCCAATGTTCTTGTAAAAAGGCTATATTTCTGGGGAAAATATTTTTCGTGTTTTTATGTTCGGCTTTTGAGCAAAAAATTATCGTGTAAAGAGTTTTCCCAAATCAAAGATAACTAACTTAATGAATATTCTAACAGAAGCATCAGCGTCAAGCGATGGTACCGATGGAAGTATACCAGTGTATGGTGCAGTGTGTACAGAGTGCCGAGATAGAGCTTCAGAAACAAATCAAAAGCAAAGAGGTCTGACTTTATAAAAACATTTGGCCGGGGCCATGGGTTTGATGGCCGCGTTGCTTTGTCTTTTAGTTTCGTTGAATTTAGGCCATTTACCTGCCAATTGCCATATATATATATATGACCAGTTAATATCAATTCATTACAATTTCCTCAGGGTTTAGAAAAAAAGAAAAATAAGTATTTGGATCAGATACTGGCGCAAAGCGAGAAACTAGCATTAACACCGGAACAGAAAGACCAATTGTTGAACCTCACTAAACCTGTAAAATCTAAAACATCTCCTCTGGATTGAAGTAGTTTATATAGTTAGATCACAAACTCAATTTGAATCTTAATTGAGTCAGTAATAGTAATGCTACTTATCAAGTTAATTTGGAAACAAAGTACATAGTTATGCTAAAAACTAAAAGCGATACAGTAATAAGGTTTAAGTTTCAAGCGATAGATTTTATTCCAGTTTGGTTTAAAAATCAATAAAATTGTACACCAAACACCCTTAGTTGATATTGTTTCAAGATAAAATTTTAAATTTCGATTAATTGTATAGTGTATACATACATATTACATGTGCATTGTACAAGAGTGTAAAATAATTATATCATGATTTTTCATTCAATTCATGTCAAATTTAATTGTTTAATTTATATCTTAATATTTGTATTAATTAATATTCATATTATTTAATGTTTGTATTACGAATGGAAACACATACTTGAACCACCATTGTGAAATTTACAAATCAATTGTAAGAAATCGGTCACAAAGCTAAAAATGAAAGTATAGCAATCGAAAATTCAGGCTTCCAGCGCCAATCTGATATAAATTATTGACCGATTGCGCTAAAGTTTAATATTCTGTTCAATAAATAAATCTCTCTAACGAGTTAGGTCATCGATATCATGAATAAGTTTTATCTTCAAGAAAGTAATTCATGTATTGTTTTTTGTATATTAGAGCTTTAGCCACAGGTAGGTTGGTCTGCACGGAGCCCCACAGTTTCAATTCCTTGTTTAACTAGCCGTACAGCAAGGATATCCACTGTGCTCACCAGGTTAGGCACATAACCAACACTACCCTGCTAAAGTTAGCTATATACTATGGTTTTCTCGAAAGTATTTCCTTGTATTTGACTTTCGTCAAGAAAGTACTCTTACTTTCATGTTAACAAGAAAATCCCTCACAAATTGAAATTATAAGGAAGGACACATTTATTGGATATATTCGGATCCTTTAAGAAGTTACATTTCAAAGATGTACCCCAAAAATCTCTCATTAAATCAAACCAGTCTTGCGACCATTTAAGTCCTATAATTGTACTAAAGTAATGATAGAATTTAGTGAGCAGTGTTCAAAATGAGGGCTATGATTAGACCGTACAATCCAAGAACTTCTGCGAAGATAAGTATAAGGACCATTCCGACAAACAGTTTGGGTTGCTGAGCTGTTCCTGAAACAAGGAATTATTTAGTGTCAATATTAACTTGTTGGAATTACTACAAAGTTCCTAGTTCCATAGATGGTGAAATAAAACGCATACTTTTCATTTTATACTGGCCATATAAAATTGTTTAAATAGAATTAGTTTCAAACCTCTGACACCAGCATCTCCTACCACTCCAATAGCAAAACCTGCCGCGAGTCCACAGAACCCAACTGATAATCCAGCGGCAAAATCGCAGAATCCACTGCAATATTTAAGATGTTAGCGTCAAATGTACTGTTAAATGTAACGTTAGATCAAAGTGTATCCACTTTTTAACTAAGCATGAATTGGGCACATGTACCAGTGGAAGTTACATTATGACTCTAGGAATTGATTGAACGATACTGCTAATCGAGAAATGTTACTTTGTCATAAATGTTTAAGGAATATTAAAAGAAATCCACTTACTCAAATAGATCGTAATCTGGAGCTTCGTCTACTGTGTTTTATTAAGGAAATATAACCCGCAATGGAAAAGTTTTTCTAAAATTTCAGAAATTTCGATTGTTTAAAACTGCAAGCCTGGTAGCCCAATTTTTCTTGGACGAATTTAGATCGACTAGTTTTAGGTCTTTCGCTCATCCAAAGTAGAGATAAGCAAAGAATGGGCATAGTTTAAGATGTTCTGTTAATCCAGAGTAGAGATTAACAAAACATTACAATTAGCGAAAAGTTTTTGCCTGAGCATTTTTGATCCGTCTACCAACATGAATTCTAGAGTAGCGAACTCTATGCAGCATTAGTAAGTCAGTAATCAGTAAGTTTGTGTAAGTCTGGGTCAGTTAGCTGTAATTGTATGTTAATCTGTCAATGATCTGACAAATAAAACTATTGCGATAACGAACAATAAAACTATTGTGCAGGTTGCCAGGTGAACGGATTTGCTTACACATAACACCCACGTCTTAAAATTTGTTGGTAATTACTGATTGTACTATAATTTAGTTGAAACTTTAACCTGGCTTACATTCCTCATTCTGGTATTACCAGACTTCTGTCAAATTTATTCTCTGACAACATTAATCATATTTATCCGTATGTGAGATTTCAGTGGCAAATAAGTAAAAGTGGTCCTCTTTAGATTGATAATAATTGTGCGGCGCTTAATGATTTTATCACACAAAGTATATTTTTCAACAGCGAGTGTAATGTTTTGCGACGTACGCGCGTGCGCACCATGTGAATTTTCCATATATATTTATTGTTTATAAACAATAAATATTATATCTTTTTAAAACCTAAGCCAATTAACTTCGTCTTTTTCTCAGCTAACAGCTAAGGGGCTGATCATTTACATAATCGGTATCCAGGGGACATCAAATACTGATGAGTGATGATGGTATAATTCCTAAGCTATAGCCGTGTGTAAACTTGCTGATGTACGGCCACGGGGGTGCAAGTTAACATATGACTTTTAAACGTAATGTGAGATATGTGAATGGTGCCTATACTAGTATAACCTTGGTTCCGCCTGCTATGAATATACGATCATCCTAAAGAATGAATTAACGATTTTAAATTTTCATCGAGAGACATTCACTAGTAAAATGTCTTCTAATGTATAAATATTTGTTTGGTAGTTGATACTGATAGTATTAACTATTATTGGAAAAGTGAGTAAATCTAAGGTTCCGTTTATTTAATAATGAAGGTCACGATCGTCTCTGGTAAAATTGAAAATATCTAGAAATAAAACAAAATATCAAATTATGCAAGTAGAATCATTCATTAAACTTAAAGTTAATATGATATAAGCGGATCTATAATAAAAGTTTGCGTAAAATGAAAACTTTTGAATGATATGTACTGAATCATGAAAATAATAAATATACAAAAAATCGCCTTCAGATAAATTGCCTTTATCCGGTATAGATCAGGATATGATATAACAATAAGAATATCACATGACAAATTACAATGGCCCATGGCGATAGGCCACATCACACATGGGATTATATTGGATGCAGGACGTGAGCCGTGAGGTTGGTAGTTATACTGATCGGAGGGAAATTGTCATTCCTGGCCTGTTCGTGTGATTCAACTCCATGATTTACTGGCGCAAGCAAACTGGGAACTAAATAATTTATTGGAATTTATTCATATGAATTGATAGGATCGACAAAAGTCAAAGTTTGTCGTGACCCGTGACCGGGTGACTTGTTATCGGAAATTGGTAACATGTGTACTTAAAGTAACCTGCACACGGTCAATAGTAGCGTGCTAAGTCAAATTTGAATTCATTTATTGAATGCGCTGCTCTTATCCACCAAGGACGAAATATTTGTTCACGGACACAAGAAAGATAATGTTATGCTGAACTTCGCCTGATTGCTTGAAACGGTAGCAGAAATAATCAGATTGAGACAGAGGAGGGTGGTTTGCTAGAGAAGTACTGGAAAGTGGAACAGCAAATGGTAAGGGAGTTCCTTAGCACAAAATTAAACCTCCGGCTAGTTCTCAGTTCTCATACCAATCCAACTAATCGGCATGTCCGGGTTCCAGGAGCAATTCTCAGCAAAGGCCTCTGATTTGCCGAGAAATTTCGACTCTCACGCTTTTTTCCCGGCCCGTTCCACTTGCCAGTTTCAATATTATAAGGACCTAAAACCCACTAATCGACACGTCTGGAGATGGGCCATGCCAGATTATTAAGGCCTCTCGAGAACGCGACAGTGATACTGATTTCTTGATTAAACTTGAGGATTTTATCCTAAATTAACGAGATCTAGATATTATCATCTTATCATGTATCTCGGGCGCTGTAATTTATTAAAATTGAAGTGTGTCAGTGTGTTTAAGACCACTAAACCGTGATTGTAACACCGTAACACTAACAGCAAACAGTGTCACTGACACGATATCAACTTTACTAAAAGTACGATGTCCGGATGTCATGCTCGTAGTTGTTTACTTTTAGTGAATTGCAATTTTATACTAACGGCAACACCATAACTTTTGTCACGATATCGTTGGCGAATTTACAACATCGCCGAGAAATTATAAATATCGTTTTCATCCATTAAATTAAAGTCTCGCATAGATTTCAGAAAAAATTATGACACCAATGTTGAATTTCAGACGTCGGCCTAGTGCACAGTTTTTCAGTCACCTGTGAGCTTGAATCCCAAACTTTGTTAGTTTCATGTTTTGGTCACAAAATTTAAATTTAAATTCAATCATGGTTTTGTGTGCTGTTTGTAAGATTAGTCTCACTCCATGTACCATACATGCACCATGCATATATGTAGTGCATGTAGTGGGCCTGTCTAGTGTCTATACCTTTAAATTTAAAGGCAATGATGACCTTGTTTATAAAGGAGTAATCTCCGTTCGCCCACGTCATTCAGCAGTGAAGATATCAAATTTTCTAGTCTGTCTTAAAATACTGATTCCAGTCTTCATCGTGAGAAGAGTGTGACTGTGAGTTTGCATGTTGATTAGTTTCTCTTAGTCTTTACAAATCACGTTATCATTGTAGCAACCAGTAAGAATTTGTGCTTGAGGATAAATTTAAAACAATAGTGATAATCAAAGTTACACTGTACATGTGATTATTTTCGCTGTTTTTCGTTCTGAATTTTCGCTCTGAAAAGATCCTTGTTTTCAGTTACCGTAGTAGAGATGGCAAACTTTGTTGCCAGGGACGACATTTGGTAAGTCCTTATCGATTTACAAATACGATTAAGGCTAGGTATGCATTTATCACATTTGAGCCGCTTTGACTGTAAAACGTTAATTTCAATGCCTCCCCCTTTTTTATTTATAAAGAGATGTCAAATTAAACCATTTTTGTCCCAAACGCCGTGATCGTTAAGTTATTGAATATACAGGAAGATCCACATCAACAGAGAAAGCACAGCATCTAAAAGTTGGAAAACCAAATGGGGATTCTTAACGAGTGAATATCAGGAGGTGACTACGATTTCTAGATTGCTTAATATTAACACACGACACTAAACATTTAGAATCAGCAAGACTATAAGTATAACTGATTTCTACTGGTATAAATAATTCAAAGAGTACAATATTCAATTTCGATCTCGCCTAGATGTTCGATAACAGTAAGACAATGAGGGAAAATGCCAAGCCGAAGACAGTATTTCCTCCGATCGAAGATGGCAAACCCCTAGTGCAAAGTGGTTCAAAAATTGTCCCAAAAACTGCTGCCCAGGTAAATTAAGTGATATTAGCTTTTTATTGTTTGTGCATCCTTTCAAATAGCACTTGTTTCAATTTTCATAGAAAAAATTAATCGTTAAAATATTTAGTCCTCAATTTTAATACTTTAATGACTAATCCCATCTTTTTATGGCACATGATAGACATAGTTGTGACCCAGTTGACCACCATAGATTTAATTTCAGTGCATAGGGTGGAAAGTGGGGACAGAACAACGTCTCAACCCGTTTGGAAATGCTGCAAACGAAGCAAAACCACGACAGAATCTCGGCGCAAAACTAGGCTGGCCAAAGGAGGCTCTTTTGTAAGATAATTTTAATGACAGCAACGAACTTTAATAGAACATTGCTAGTAATATACATGATGATTTTAGTTGAAATTCATTCTTGGAGATTGAATCATTGATGCATTATGCATGTAAATTATGCTTGTCTTTACATAAAACTAGCTAACTCTACTTTTATATTGATGTTATAACCACAAAGATGTGTTCTGAATTTATAATGTCAACTTGATCGTCGGTTGTTTCTCCATGATTGCTTTATTCTAATTTGGCCGACACAAAATGGCAATTTCATGAATCAATCATATTTGAGTTTACGTAAAAATATGATAAATTTATGCGTCGTTCTTAGCCAATTCCTCCTGTAGAACTTCAACTAGAACGAAATTCAACAAAAATAATTCTCTTTAATTTTCAACTCTTTGATTCATGATCATTGGCACGGATTTTAGTGATCATTAAACAATGATAAACTCATTTAAATATTAAATATAAAACAACCACGTTTATTTAAACATGGAAATACTGACAATAACATCAAAACTATACAAAAATTCTTATTTCTATTACTAAGTTATTAGAAGCAATTCTGATTTATTACTCTCAATGAGTTTATACCAACGCAGACTGAATAAATTAAACCAATCACAAACAAATTTTTCTACTTTTAAACTCTGTTGAATCATTATTTTCTGAGTCTAATTTGTACTAGACCAATGTCTAAAAATCTAAAATATATCTTCTCACATCATCATTGCTGCAGCAAATTATTACGTAGTTAACTAAAGGAATCACAGAAATGTATTCAGTTGACACATCTTTACATAACACCTGAGTAGCTCGTTTATTTTTAACAGAATTTATCAATCACAGACAAATTCTGAAAACATTCTAATTATGTAAGTTAAGACGAAAATTATTATTGTCGAAACAACGACGACCAAAACAAGAAATGACTGTGAGAGTAAAGGCCATGGCCCCTAAGTAAACGCCACGAGAAGCTACAATTCTTCTGTTGTTTGATCACCAGTTTATAACGTGTTCAATGTTCATCCCAAACTCAAACTTCAAGAGTTGAACAGCCATGCATATGGTCTATCAAATGTTCGAAAGTTTCCTTAATCTGAAGATGGAAGAAGTAGAATGATCGGGGTAAAATGTGGGAGGTTAAGGGAACCAGGATGTTAAAAAGCTGGCTTGTAGGAAGTCTCACACTCTAAGCTGGCTTCAGACTCAGGGCGGTTGTTGTCTGAGAGAAACGCGTCTAGTATCAGATCGGGGCTCTGCTCCTTGAATATACGACCTGAAAATGAAACTGTAAAGTAGGTTAGGTAGGATCGGACTAACCAGTAATAAAAAAAAAGTATAATTGTCTTCATAATGATTAGCTTTTGGAAAACAACAACCACGCTAAAAAATAATGTAAAAAAGCCTAACTTCAAATCCACAAACCTGACTGCATATTTTCGAGTCGCCGGAGCCTTTCTTCATTCCTCTGAGCTATCTTGTGAACATCAAAACTCTGTATAGAGGTACCAGACGGTGGTCTCTTGTCGGATGGAGGTCTCTTGTAGCGGTTGTTCTGCGTTGACCTGCGACTATACGGATAAAGTAAGCATTTTTGTAGGAGTAAGGGGGGTTTGTAGGGGGGGGGGGGTTGTTGGAGTAAGGGGGGTTTGTAGGGGGGGGGGGGGTTGTTGGAGTAAGGAGGGTTTGTAGGGGGGGGGGGGGTTGTTGGAGTAAGGGGGGTTTGTAGGAGTAAGGGGAGTTTGTAGGGGGTTTGTAGGGGGGGGGGTTGTTGGAGTAAGGGGGGTTTGTAGGGGGGGTTTGTAGGGGGGGGGGTTGTTGGAGTAAGGGGGGTTTGTAGGGGGGGTTGTTGGAGTAAGGGGGGGGGGGGGGGTTGTAGGAGTAAGGGGGGTTTGTAGGGGGTTTGTAGGGGGGGGGGGGGGGGTTGTTGGAGTAAGGGGGTTTAAAATTGATGTGTCTCGCAATGTCTCATTTTAAAACATCCCATCATTATAATATTGTGATCATATCAAAATACAAAGTGGTAAAGATTTTAACAGGATTTTATCTCCGAGTCTAAACCAAAGATATGGTCCAGATAAACAAGTGAGACTGACCCTTGGCTTTGCAAGAGTTGAGTAGGTTCAGGTGTACACGCAACAAACTCGCTCGAGCACTGCCCGTCCAAACTATCCCTGTCTTGTAGCTGGATGTTCCTGAACTTGTCCCCTAATTCGTCGTGTCCGGAAAAGAGCTCGTAACGGTCCCTCAGGTCTTGTGAAAGTAGACTCAAATTGTCGTAATCTGCTCTCACTGCAGCTTTGGTTTAAGGATTAAGGATGTGAGACTTTTTATATTATAAAGCCAGTTCACCTCCAAATCAACGAAAAGACTTAATTACGAACGAATTCTAAGAACAAGGATGTGAGGAATATTTCAACTATTTCAAGTTATCTTATCTATAATCTTGTGGTTTGGCTAACCTGGAGCAGCAGGGTTCCTACGTTTAGCAGCCCGGTCCAAGTCAGTATCAAAACCACCACCTGCTATCGTCACGGGCTTTCCCAGCTCATTTTGAGTGCTCTTAACGTTCTGTAAACGGTTCAGTTGCGTTCTCAGTGCGGACAGTTGGCTCATAACATGGTCTTTTGTCACATCACCGGACTTTGGTGTCCCCCCATTTGACCGTGACGGACCCAGATTACTTGGGGGACGTCGATCAGACGGCCGGAGGTCACCCTCAGCATCAGTCTCAATTCTTCCAGAGAGATCGAGCTTGGGAACAGGAGGTGATTGTCTGTTAGCAGCATGTGTTGGAATAACAATTGATTCTCTGGCAGGTTCCTGTTGTCTATTAGCATGCGTTGGTATAACAATAGATTCTCTATTAGAGTAGGGTGGTTGATCTTGTCTGTTTGCGTAAGATGGTTGTTCTTGTTTGGGGGCATGTGTTGGAATGACTATAGACTCTCTATTTGAATTTTTGGGACCGTCTTGTTGTTTTGCCAGGGTTGGTACGGGAGGGCTTCTTCCTCTCTGATCGAATGCTGGAGGCTGCATCCTACTCTGTGGTTCTTGTCTCTGCTCCTGCGCCTGTCTCTGCTCATCTTCTTGCTTCTTCTTTTCATTATCTTCCCGCCTCTTACGCGCACTAGCTTCTCTCTTCTCTTGATCTTTACGTCTAGGAGAAACAAGACATGAAAATACATATACCGATAAAGTTCTTAGAATTTATAAAGTACATTTATTTACGATAATCTACGGTAACATGAAATTATATCACAAAACTTAATCAAAAAGGTGGTTAATTTGTAGTACCTTTCCTCAGCAGCTCGCTTGAGGTCTTCGTTCATTTGCTGTTGGGCTTCCTCCTTTTCTTTCTTTCCCTTGAGTTCCGCTTCAAATTCTGCCTTTAATCTCAACCTCTCCTTCTCAAGTCGAGCCATCTGCAACGTATAGATTATGGGACTATGTTAACAGACAACGTTCCGTTCATTGATGAGACATCAAGCAAAATAACTATGAGCACAAGGAATTATTCTCTATTTTCCAATTAAATCTCTAGTTAACCCACCTCCTTTTCATCCTCTAAACGTTCTTTTTCTTTCTGCTCCGCCTTCAGTCTTGCTCTCTCATCAATCTGTTGCTGCAGGAAAGATTTGTAGTCCTGTTTAGCAGCAATCTTCACGGGATCGTCTTCTTGAGGCGTTCCTGTTATCTCGTTTACTCGACCGAAATGTGCTCCTTCCGCCTCTGAGTAAATACACGAGTTGACATAATTACTCACAGCAAAACGAGTTCAAAGAGCATTGAAATCGATCAGATGATTATATTAATGATATTGTGTATATAGGCTGGCAATAAATACATGTGTGATGATTACAACGTACTGTCAGGCGTGCCTTCAACTGGAGGTGGAGCGGCAACTACTCTAGATTTCTGTTCTTTCTGTAGAGTAATGGGATCCTGCGCATTCGCCTTCATTTGATTTCGATTGGCGACAGATTGCCCCTGAGGTATCGTGAGTTCAAATCAGAGGTTTTTCAAAGCTTTATTTAGAATAATTCATGTAAATCAAACTTTTAACCGCCAAGCGCGACTATTAATATGTGTAGGACGAGGAATATAAACCTGGGCGTCTTTTAGAGGGGCACCTGCTCCGCCTCTTCCCCAAGGATTGTAATTAGCACACTCTTCGTCTTTCTTCCTGTCATACATTTCTTGCTCTTCCTTTTTCTTGTTTTTCGCTCTTTCCCGTTCTTCCACTTGCCTCTTCAGTTCACGAGCATAATCACTCGGATCAAGGTTACCTGTAAAAAGGGTACATTATGAAAACATTAGAGGATCATAATATAATAGAAGAAGGAAAACGGGAATTTACTATAATCGTAGTGCAGCTGTAGTGGGGCAGTTCCACTTTTCTTCTTGGATTTGCTCGAGCGCTGTTCTAAACCCACCTTTTTGCGGTTTGGGTGAGTTATTGTTAGCTCCAATGTCTGTTATTCTTGTAATGGCAGGGTCTGCAATTGTTTCAACATTTCGGGGCTGACTTCTGTTTTGTGGAGGAGCACCTGCTGGTTCTCTTGGCCTTCTTTCTCGAGATTCACCACTTCGTCTTCTTTCAAGACCGTAGTACTGGGGATTCTGGCATTACTTAGCATTTTTGTTAAAGTACCCCAAAAAAGAAACTATATATTAACTCATATTTTATTTAGCTACTAAGCATATATAATAACCCTGAATCTATTAATAGTGATGTCAGTGATAGTAAGTTAGTGGGAGAGGAATATTATTACCTGGTATGGATCGTACTGTGTATTATTGGCAAGTTGCTGCCCTCCATTCATCATTTGCGGTCGCATCATACCATTATTACCCATCTGCTGTGGCATCATGCCACCCATATTTGGTGGCATCATGCCAGGCTGCATCATTTGTTGTTGGGGCATCATATAGGGAGGGTACATGCCTTGCTGCATCATTTGTTGTGGAGGCATCATGTAAGGAGGATACATGTTGTAGCCGGGAGGAGGGAAGTATCCTCCCTGAGGGTATTGAGGAAGCCTACCAGGTGATTCCCTAACGGGTGATTGAGGTATTCGGCCAGGTCTTACTGCAGCTGGTTCTGGAGACAGTTTCTCAAACTTGGTGTTCAGTCGCTGTCTTACACTTTCATCTGCTCTCTCTAATGGACTGAGTAAATGGTGCGTAAAATTGGGTGGTGAATATTTGGTTATATCAGCTGAAAGTACATCACGTTTTGATATTATTGATTAAAACATTGACAAATACTTTCGCATTTACCTAGGTTTGTTCACGGCTATGTTCGGAGAAGTGAATTCGTGATCGACTTTTGATTTGGTTGAAGGAGATCCATAGTAGTCATTCCGTGTTTTTAACTTTGCTTTCCTTTGCTCGTCCATCTGTTTCCTCAAATCGTCAGCGTATTTCTTCTTCCGGTCCTCAGGTGTGGCACCAGCTCCCCCAACTATGAGATGTTTGAGTGATGGTGACAACGATTCCGAAATTGATGTAACAACTGAGATGCTTTTAAATAACCGGAACTTAAAATGCTTGCAAACTTTATTTGATTCATTTTCAAATCCCCCCTAACGAGTTACAATGCCTATGCTCACTCTATATTATATAACATTTCTAAGAAAATAAAATATGACAGGATTTATTATTTACCGTGAGTTTCGAAATTGGCCGCTCGTCTGAGACCGTTATTGGACACAAAACGGTTATCCTCATGCGGGACAGATTTACTGCGGTCTTGTTGAGTCATGGGAGCTTCTACTCTCTCTTCTCTCGCAGATTTAATCCCCCTATGGATATTTCATTAGCATTTTCATCAAGTTTACTTTTCATGTTTAGCAGATAAACTAAAGGAACAACACAAGGAATTCAAAGAGATTTTGAAAAGCAGATAAAAGACGCACCTGTCTAAAGCTCCAGATCTCATAGCGTTCCAATCCTCTAATTCCTTATCGTATGTCGACAGAGCTCCCAGTCGCTTTACAGCTCGCGATAGATCATCATCCTTGTCAAAGTGCACTCTTCTGCAAAACAGATCGTGAAAATAGCAAATATCTAAGTTACTGCTGTCTGCTACTATTTATTGCTGTCTGTGATCTATTAAGCTACCCTAAGTAACGGTGTAATAGGTAATTATGGCCTGTTGGCATGAGGACCAAACTAAAACGCAATCGACGCGCTGCTCACGTGACGCGCAAATTTCAAATCCTGTTACACTAAATGCTCAAACTAAGGGCCGTGAAACATGAAAATGTCGCCGCCGCGTACGTATTCTGCACACACTTTGGATTAAGTAGCGACCGCCCGAAAATTCACCCGCCCAATTTAAATAAGACGCCATAATAATCAGGTATGTCGTGTGGTATTTATTGGCACTGGTAGCTGTGTCAAATTTAACTAGTAACTGATGCAGGGAGATGAGTTACCTGTGACGTGATCAGGCAAACCTTGTAGATACTAATTCTGTATGATGCGACGTCAAGGTAAGGGACGAATCTAAACATGCATAGTGTAATTGTATCAACGACAAATTACAAAACACTTCGCGAGCATGCGTAATACAGTCAGCCTTGAGTGTTGCATTATTTAAAACTTACTTCTGCGTCTCGGCTTCGTTTTCCTGTAATGAACATCAGTTAGACATCAGAGTAAAGGATTACTACAGTACTAAAACATTTTATAGTCACAATAGTGACTTTAAAATATACTATGTAGCAGCTTCATGTTTATATGTATGTCACTACAAGTCGAGATGTCAATTCTAGTATTATCTAACAAACTCACTTTTGAGTTGGGAGTAGTAAAGTCGCCCGTCTGTGCCCTGTATTTTCTCTCTATTTCTCTCTTTCGTTCCAGCAACTTCTGATAAGCTTCATCCATATTCTCGTCCTGATGAATAATAAAATAATGGTGGAATTTCGAAGGAAGTACATACGATTCAAGATGGTATGATTTTAAAACATGAAAAATTATGTTTGTTGTATAATTTCAGATGAATAAAACACTAATATTACTCGTAATATTAAGTCTCAATGATTTACCTAATAAGTATACATAACATAATATAACACGAATAATAGTTATGTTCTAATGGTTAGCTGACATGGGAACCAGCTGCCCTTGTGGACATTATACAAAACTTCCCTCAAAGGTTTAGCTACTTGTTATTTAACATTATGTGAAATTTAGAAGCAAACATATTTATCAGAACATAAGTTATGCCACTTTTTGTTTTTAAAATAATTTGCAAGATCTCAGCGACCTTTAACAACAAAGAGATAAGGATGGGTAGTGCTTTTTGGGCCACCCTGTATCTATAACAATTGTTCATGACAATTTAATGGATTATTGATATAGTCTTTTGTTGTTGCACTGAGCTCACCTTTGCTCACTTTATCTCTCTTTACCTCATTTTTCCTCACTTCTCAATTAACATGATAAAGACATAACTAGCAACCTTTATATCTTCACAGGATTGGTATTACAACACCAATCTTAACAACACAAACAGTACAACAGTAAATACTACCAACGAGATAAAGATAGATTTGTTTTTGAGATGATTTAGTTGTTTGTTGCTGGATATTTTCACCTCACCCTTTAGAACCGCTCTGACATGGTTAGTACCTGGCACTTGTGTCAGTTGCTAACCATATGGGCGGTATAAAAGCACATTATTTCATTTCATTTCAGTGAGTAACATGATATAAGTCTCAGCGCCAACAAGTCTGCTGCAAATTGCTAACCACCCCTGTTATAATCATCCTAAAGTAATAGAGAACGTCCAGACAAACAATGGGTACACTTGCATGTACCTGATAGTCTCTACACTAATACTCTAACAGTTCCTGTGCTTTGCTTTTCTCACTAAATCCAGTGCTTATGAAGAGTTTGCTTACCAGTGGGATGAAATTGCAAAATATTTTATCACTAATCTGGTGTCACACATCTCTTCTACTGGGACTTATTGGGAACAGTTTTGTGATCTACTCGACAGTCTACCACAAAGCCATCAAGTTAGACAAGCTCTCAGTTTGGATCATGTACAGAACTCTGCAGCGTCAGATCTTATCGTAAACAATATCTTTATCTTGGTTCCAGTGATCATATCTCTCTATGCGAACAATCAATGGGTTCTCGGAGACACGTTCTGCAAGGCTATTTTCATGTACAAATACGCAGGATGTGTCGCCAGCATATTTCTGATAAATGCCTTGTCGCTCAATAAGATTATGATATGCCTGTTTCCATTGCGGAATCTAGATTGTTCCAGAAGACAGCGGTGGTCCCTCACAGTGATCACCGTAATTGTGGCGATGATTCTTCCTATTTATTACTTATACGGAGCCATAGTTGAGCGTATCTTTATCATCGATTTCTCGGTTGCTCAATGTTTTTGTTGGTCTAACAAACTGCATTTCCTAAAAGTTGGCATATCATATTCGACTATTTCACGACTTAACTATACTTCTTAACGGATTACCCTGTCTCACTTTGATTCTCATGAACACTTTTCTAGTGATTTACGCGGTCAAGAAAACAAACAATCCAGTAAACAAGATGAACATCATGATAGTAACTCTAGTTACGGCATCTTTCTTAATTTCAGTGCTGCCGTACTTCATAAACGCTATGCTTCAAGGTGATTCTTGGGATGAAAATGACTACACCATGCCATACGCTTAGTGACTTTTATCACGTTTTTTTCATTCTGGACCAATCCTGTTATATACTTCTTAACCAATGATCACTTCCGAAAGTTGGTCATCAACGTAGTTCTCACAAGAAGAATTATTATTGTATCAGCAAGTGAATCAGACATTTCGACGAAGAGAAAGTCTGGTGAATTTCTTCCGGACTAGCTTACTTGATGCAAGAAATTTGTGATTATATAAATTATTTTACTTAAATTAAACCAGAAAAGGTTCAAGAAAAATTTCAGTTTTTTTCCCTGGAATTTAGAATTTAGAATGTTAGAGTTAAAGCTATAAGAATTTTTCTGACTAAAATATTTGTTCATTTTGCTTTTGTCGTTTCATGTTAGACTTACTGTAAGATTCAAACGGTTAAAGATGATATTTTGAATTCTACTTTGCACATTAGAAATTCAGTGAGAACTAAATAACTGTGCATGATAATCGCAAAGATGTAACCACACACACTGTACGTGTAGTGTGTAGTGTAGTGTAGTGTAGTGTAGTGTAGTGTGTACTCAATACACTTATGATAGGCTCTAATATGAAAAGACGAAGAATGTAAAAAAGGTTGTACTAACATTTTGGGGTGCTTCTTGCCTATTCTCGCTTCGTGGAGATGGCTGCTTCGAACTGTAAAATAAGGTTGTCATTACTTGATGGTAGTGGTGGGAGAGCATGAAAATGTTAATATTCGAGATTAAGGTCTGACTTGCAGTGTTCAACTTGAACAGCCTATTTTAGTCCTAATTAAACTATTGTTCGCTGATATATGAGGATCAACCCAAACAAAAGCCACTTAACCGAATTATATTAATAATAACCTCAACATGCCTCCCCCAAACAGCAAATCAGTGCTTTAAAAACTGTTTGCCATCATTTTAAAAGATCTCTAATCGAGCCAGAAAATAAAACAAACGTAAGCATCAAACAGCGACCAAGAAATGCTAATCTTGTCCATGTTAAAATAATTTCCTTTGCCAGTGTCCTAGAATGTTATTGACATTTTTGTGCTATCATACTTTATGAGTGCATTCTACTAGGTAACTTCTATATTATATCATAGCAAGAATTATAGATTTCTAAAATCGTTTGTGTGTGTGTGTTATTCAGATGACTGATACCCAGACGGTAGACAACTTAGTTTTATATGTGCCAAAAGTATAATAAAGGTTTAACAAAGATGCAACTAAATGGAACCTACATTTGTTTCTCAGCTGTAATCAAAGGAGACGCTTGGAATCCTGACCTCGGTTTCTGAAAAATAACAAGCATGACGAAGTCAGTTTTGGAAATTTAATTAAAGCCTCGAATTCTGGTATAGATGGTGTAATACCGATAATCCAAGATAGCCAGAATACATCATACTACAATGGTACAAAATTTGCGAAAAACATGACATGTACATTTTACATTTAAATATGTATGTAGAATTCTTGAAAGTTATACTCATTAGCACATAAAGCAGGAAGTAATACACGCACAAGGTACATTATATTATGTCTCAATTAAATCTGTTATCTGGAATACAAATCTAATTTAAGAGATACAACATCCAACATGATCAAAATCAGAGAGAAAAAAATGTATCATCTGTTACAAAATGAACCAGTATTTCAAGAATTTAAAGCTGAACTAGTATACACCAACGTACGTAGTTAATGCGTTGAAAATACGTAGTTTACACGTAGTAAGACTAAAAACCTGTTTTTGCAAGTACTGTTGATACTCCTGAGCAGCCTGAGCTTTGAGATTCTTCTGATGTTGTTCGTATCCCCCGAGTCTGAGGCCGGTGTAGGGTGGAGACTTGGGAGGGATCCTGCGTTTCGGCTGTGGGGCACTAAAACAAGAGGATGTTATTGGTATCTGTGTGTGTGAGTATGTTTAAAGACCTTGTAACGACACTTGTACGGAAGTGTGGATAGTTGAATTAAAAGTAACGTTGGTAAAGCTTTATTATAAAATATAAACGTTAAGGATTATTTTAGATAAACTCACTTTCTCTGACCCTCCAGACTTTCTCTTGATGGAACAATTGGGCTCTGAAAACAATTGACGTTTCTAGTAGAGCACAACCCACAAGGTTCATAGTAATCTAAAAGGCTACAATTTATTTGGCTACATCATACATTTTGAAATAGAATATTTTTATATTTTAGATGAAGACCAGAAATTACCCTGGTGTTGAGCTGCCGGAGCGCACGTGCCTGTCTGTCTGTCTCTAGTTTGACCCTGTGAAGGGCCATCATATCTTCCATCATCCTACCCTGCAATCCTAACAAACGTATTTATTTAGTGATTACAAATATTATAAGTTATTTTTACGTATTTATTTAGTGATTAAAACTTTTATAAGTTATTTTACATCCTAGGAATTTTAATATAACTTATAAATACAGCTTGCAACATAGATCAGAGAAATTCATTAAATTTAAACAATACGAAATTATTGCATCAGCAGTTATCACCAAAGAAAACAGGAAAATATCTATAACCAAACTTAATATGTCAAAAATGTATGAAATGATAAAATTGATCTAGCTTTTTATACACTGAAATAAAATAACCCCCAATTTCTGAGGCGCTGGGTGGTTATAGCGTCAAAAAGCGCCAAAAAAGCGCCTAAAAGTGTCAGAAAAGCGCCAAAAAGCGCCAAAAAAGCGTCAAAAAAGCGTCAAAAAGCGCCAAAAAAGCGTCAAAATGTGCCAAAAAGCGCCAAAAAGCGCCAAAAAAGCGTCTTGGATGTAACTATGCATTAACATATACACTCACATTTACACAAACACTTGAACATAGTCACATCTTATAAGCTCAGAGAATATGATCCAGCCAGAAAAAAGATCGATATAAATTTATAAATCTATTGACTTCAAACTGCCCAAAAGTTTATGCACCACTACTTTGCAATAATTCTTATCTCGAATAACTTGATTTTAAAGTCATCTGAAAAAAACATCGATGCAGATAAGGCATCAACTGTTTTCAGTGATGTAATTAGTATTCATAATTAGTTTTAATAAGTTATTCATACAACCTAGTGATATTGATCTAATTCCTGGTTTGTGAGGCCAGTCGCGCACTTGACGTAGAAATGTATGAGTAAATTACGTGGGAACAGGTGACTATTATTTGATCAAGTTACAACCTCAACTCTCAAGCATCCAGAAGGCATCCAAGTGGTATGATACATTTTAAAATGATATCTTTACAGTACTTCACTTCATTGGAAATAGAATAGAATAGAATCATTATAAAAATTGAAGGAATTTAGCCGAATAAAAATTCAAATTCATCAATTTCAAATAATATGATTGATACAAAACAGGATATTATCCTGTTTTGATAAGAGGATAGTGAATAAAACAACTGGTGTCAAGCACATGATCGAAATTAGTATATTTGTATATATTACGGAAAGTTAAATCTTTGTGGTGTCAAGAAAAAGCGGACAGACCGGCATACACATATTTATGAAGAATTAAACCTATACTTCAAAAGTTTCATTTGACAAATGCAATTTGATTACCTATATAATATAATAATAATAACGCTTTATTTGTATACCGCTTAGGCCGTATAAGCGACCAAAGTCCAAAAAAATGGAGTTGATAATGGCCAACAAAGCGGTGCAGATAAATTTACCTTAGTAGTCCCTTTTCTAATCAAAAATTCAAATTTATAAATTGTAGATTGATCTTAAAGTCCTGCGTCCATGACTACTGAATCACCAAAAATACTGTTCGCATATACAAGGCAACTCAATGAAGAAAATAGTAAATCTAAAAACTCCAATTAAATTTCAAATAGGGATGCTCGTTACGAAAATTTTAATTTGTAACTTTTCCTGCATACTCACAAATTTTTATCTCACAGACCAAGAATACAGTTATCAAATTACATTGAATAAAACTACTTTATGACAAAAAGATCAATAATTTCAAATCCAGACCTAGATTACAAACATTCAAAAGGCACAATTAGAATTTACTGTATTTTCTGTTTCTTGGCTTTATGTTTGTGACCAAATACCTCATATGGGGCAGTCATGGCTGGAGGACCCAGGAGGAGGAGGAGGAGGACCCAGGAGGGGGGTGATGCAACGTCAATTTATGTCAATTAATGTCAATTAATGTCAATTAATGTCAATGTCAGTTTTGCAAAATTTTGGAATACTGACATTAATTGACACGATATTTTTCGACCAGAGATTATGTAGTTCTACCATATTTTTAGCACTTTAGAAAGTTTATATCATCAATTTATTCACTACTATCACATATGGAAATGTGAAATGTGAAAAAAATTAAGATCATTAAACAATAAAACTAAAATAATACGGTTTTCCGAAATTTAATTTTCTTAAATGGGCGCGGCCATCCAAGGGCGTGGTTCTCAACATCATCAGAACTTAAAACCCACATTAAACGAAATGCCTTCATGACATTTATATTTGAATAACGAATCTTAAACAGCTAACATTACTCCTTCATACTAAAAAAGCCGATTCTAGATATTTTACCTGTATAAGAAGCCAATAAAATATGGGCGTGGCCGGTGGGGACCGAAGATGGAAGAGTTGGAAGCTGAAATTTTTTTTGGTGGTCTTTGAACCTAATATATATAAGGATCAACAGATAAGAACATACTCATAATTATTCAAGGACATTTTGTTTTTTTGAACCGGTCTAACTACTTACATAGACGTGAATATCTTGAATATTTATCGAATAATGATAATCTCAAATTTCAAGACAAATTAATGTCAATTAATGTCAATTAATGTCAATTAATGTCAATTAATGTCAATTAATGTCAATGTCAGTTTGGGGTTTTTATGGAATACTGACATTAATTGACGTTGCATCACCCCCCCCCAGGAGGAGGACTGAGGAGGATGACTGAGGAGGAGGAGGACTGAGGAGGAGGAGGAGGACTGAGGAGAACTGAGGAGGAGGAGGAGGAGTGAATAGGAGGAGGAGGGGGACTGGGGAGGACTGAGGAGGAGGAGGACTAAGGAGAATGATGAGGAGGAGGACTGGGGAGGAGGATGAGGACTGAGGAAGAGGACTGAGGAGTACTGAGGAGGATGGCTGACGAGGGTGGCTGAAGAGGATGGCTGAGGAGGATGACTGGAGAGGATGACTGAGAGGGAGGAGGAGGAGGAGGACTGAGGAGGAGGAGGAGGAGGAGGACCCAGGAGGAGGACTGAGGAGAACTGACGAGGATGACTGAGGAGGATGACTGAGAGGGAGGAGGAGGAGGAGAAGGACTGAGGAGAAGGAGAAGGAGGAGAACCTAGGAGGAGGAGGACCCAGGAGGAGGATTCAGGAGGAAGAGGAGGAGGAGGACTCAGGAGGAGGACTTAGGAGGACTGAAAAGGAAGAGGACTGAGGAGAACTGAGGAGGAGGACTGAATAGGAGGAGGAGGAGGGGGACTGGGGGAGGACTGAGGAGGAGGAGGGGGACTGGGGGAGGACTGAGGAGGAGGAAGACTGACGAGAAGGATGAGGAGGACTGAGGAGGAGGACTGAGGAGGAGGACTGAGGAGTGAGGAGGAAGAGAAGGAGGATGAGGAGGAGGAGGAGGACCCAGGTGGAGGAGGACTGAGGAGGAGGAGGAGGAAGACTAAGGAGGACTGAGGAGGACTGAGGAGGATGGCTGAGGAGGATGACTGAGAGGGAGGAGGAGGAGGAGGAGGAGGATGAGGACTCAGGAGGAGGACTCAGGAAGAGGACTGAGGAGGACTGAGAAGGAGGAGGACTGAGGAGTACTGAGGAGGATGGCTGAGGAGGATGGCTGAGGAGGATGGCTGAGGAGGATGACTGAGGAGGGTGACTGAGGAGGAGGAGGAGAAGGACTGAGGAGGAGAAGGAGGAGGACCTAGGAGGAGGACCCAGGAGGAGGAGGACCCAGGAGGAGGACTTGAGGACTCAGGATGAGGAGGAGGAGGAGGAGGAGGAGGAGGACTCAGGAGGAGGACTTAGGAAGAGGACTGAGGAGGACTGAGAAGGAGGAGGACTGAGGAGTACTGAGGAGGATGGCTGAGGAGGATGGCTGAGGAGGATGACTGAGGAGGATGACTGAGAGGGAGGAGGAGGAGAAGAAGGACTAAGGAGAAGGAGAAGGAGGAGAACCTAGGAGGAGGAGGACCAAGGAGGAGGACTCAGGAGGAAGAGGAGGAGAAGGATTCAGGAGGACTGAAAAAGAAGAGGACTGAGGAGAACTGAGGGGGAGGAGGACTGAATAGGAGGAGGAGGAGGGGGACTGGGGGAGGACTGAGGATGAGGACTGAGGAGGAAGAGGAGGAGGATGAAGAGGAGGAGGACCCAGGAGGAGGAGGACTGAGGAGGAGGATGAGGACTGAGGAGGACTGAGGAGGATGGCTGAGGAGGATGGCTGAGGAGGATGACTGAGAGGGAGGAGGAGGATGGCTGAGGAGGATGGCTGAGAGGGAGGAGGAGGAGGAGGAGGAGGAGGAGGAGGAGGAGAAAGAGGACTGAGGAGGAGGAAAAGGAATGAGGAGGAGAAGGAGGAGGACCTAGGAGGAGGACTCAGGAGGATGACTGAGGAGGAGGACTGAGGAGGAGCAGGAGAAGGACTGAGGAGGAGAAGGAGGAGGACCTAGGAGGAGAAGGACCCAGGAGAAGGACTCAGGAGGAGGAGGACTCAGGAGAACTGAGGAGGAGGAGGAGGAGTGAATAGGAGGAGGAGGGGGACTGGGGAGGATTGAGGAGGAGGAGGACTAAGGAGAAGGATGAGGAGGAGGACTGAGGAGGAGGAGGAGAAGGACTGAGGAGGAGAAGGAGGAGGACCTAGGAGGAGGACCCAGGAGGAGGACCCAGGAGGAGGACTTGAGGACTCAGGATGAGGAGGAGGAGGAGGAGGAGGAGGAGGAGGACTCAGGAGGAGGACTTAGGAAGAGGACTGAGGAGGACTGAGAAGGAGGAGGACTGAGGAGTACTGAGGAGGATGGCTGAGGAGGATGGCTGAGGAGGATGACTGAGGAGGATGACTGAGAGGGAGGAGGAGGAGAAGAAGGACTAAGGAGAAGGAGAAGGAGGAGAACCTAGGAGGAGGAGGACCCAGGAGGAGGACTCAGGAGGAAGAGGAGGAGAAGGATTCAGGAGGACTGAAAAAGAAGAGGACTGAGGAGAACTGAGGGGGAGGAGGACTGAATAGGAGGAGGAGGAGGGGGACTGGGGGAGGACTGAGGAGGAAGAGGAGGAGGATGAAGAGGAGGAGGACCCAGGAGGAGGAGGACTGAGGAGGAGGATGAGGACTGAGG